CTTCCGCTTCCTGGATCAATTTAAAAGCCAAAAACGCATATTTTTCAAAATGCGAATTTTTTGAAAATACGTACGGCAATGGATTCGTCTCAGAGAGACGAACAAAAGTTGTTAACACACATTACTGTTTTTGAGTTGAAATAAAGGCTTTTTTCGGCCCGCAAAGTTTACAACATGCAACAGTCCATAAATGTTGCATTTTGATTGATGCAAGTCACGGGTCAAACATACAACGTCTCCATTGATGTGATCTGGAATTACTAACTTTCATCATTATGCTCGCTTTCCAAAACATGAAACGTTTTTCTAGTGATATTGTTGTGTTTCTAACTGCCCCATCCACATCTGTTTCAAACTGCCCCAGAGGGCACCATTCCAGTTGTGCTGCTCCCCGCCGGACTTGGTGAGGGCTACGTCAGTGTCCGAGAGTGCATTACGTTTGCCTAATATGGTACTAAAAGATGAATTAAGTGTGCGTGAGATGATTGCTTCCTAGCGCAACCCAGACGGAAACTCCCGCGACTTACCAATTTAAGTTTAGGCCAATTTCAATGGTACCGAAGTTTCACCTTTTTTTCAAGGCCACTAAGGTGCACCGTTGACGACCGTGTCGATCGCAAATCAGTAAGATCATGAAAATAGAAGATCGTGCACACTCACATTTCCTTCGGCAGCCCTCATTGCTTTAATATTGGCGTTTGTATCAAACTGCCCCACCCTCCCTTATAAGCAACAATAATACTAAGTATTTCCTAAGAAATCATGACTTATTCCCAAAGTAAAATTATGTACAAAACCAAATCTTCAGTAACTTGTTTAATATTTCCTAAGTAGTTCTTCATAAAAGGAAAAGTACGTATTATTGTTGCACTAATTACTTCCATAAGTACTGACAAAATAAGCAAAAGTCAGTAACGTGCTGAGAGTGTATCAAGGGTCATTCCATATTAGATCTGGATCTGATGGCCTGGCCTGAATGGGGCTGGGTTGGGATGGGCAGGCGGGGCCACGTGCCTGGCTCGAACCCTCGAGCAGGTATATTGCCATCGCCAAACAAAGGGAACTACACTGAGAAAAAAGTCTGGTTAAAAGTACCAGACCAATCCTAGTTAAACGAGTACTAGTTACTCATACGAGAATCCTAGTAACTCTCACCAGATGATCAGTTGCAGTAACCAGATCGGGTGTTGTGACATTTACCAGGTGTCTGGTTAATAATCCTGGTAAATTTTACCAGACTGTTCCGTAATTGGCACCATACGTAAAACTTCGAAATATTCGTTTTAATTGAAATGTTCGGGTGTCAAAAAGTAAACTGCAACCGGTTTCGTTTCGGAGTCTTAAATCCGAAAGAAACACTGGGAGTATTTCCCTGAGCCAGACACGTAGAGAGTCACCTGGTGGGGATCCCCTCGACCCACAGGCGACGTGGTCACATTTCGCATTTTTCGTCTCGGCGTTTAGTAAACTACGGCCACACCGTTCAAGGTTTTGACTTGAAATTTGGAGAAGGCGGCAGGGAACGAGTTGGACTACAACGCTACAAAGCCCGATTTTCGATATCGTGCTCAGGAGCCGAGATACGGCGGTCTCCGTTTTTCAAGCCGATCACGCCAGTAGGCAAACAGGCAATGTCGGGCCGGATTTGACCGCACCGGGGGCGGGCCCGGTCTATTGCCAGTCTCTCTACCAAGTATGAAATTTTGTGGCCAAGCCGTTTTCGAGAAACCGCGATTATCATTTCAGTCTGCATCGGCTTTCCAGACTAAGTATTCTCCTTGCTTCATTTTAAAACCTTATCAAGATTTCAACACAAAGATTCCAGCTCAAAAGTGATTCTTAGATTTAATACGAACACTCTTGGCTCATGCCGTTCAAGTTACGATACCAAAATGAGGTCTTAAGGTATAAAATGTGGACCGATCAATTGTTAGAAAGCTGGGACAGAGTAGAAATTTTGTGGCCTTGTTCGACTTAGGAGATGAGTTCTGAACCAAGTATCGTCAAAATCAAAGGACCGCCTTTATTTGCAAGCTCTATTTTTGTGAAGTTTTCATCAGTTTTTTCTTAGTAATTCCAAGTTTTTCATCGTTTTCCAAATATTGTTACTTATATGAATACAAAAGTCTACAGGGAAGCCAATGAAACCTGGCTGGACCCTTTCTGACTACACATGTCAAATGGCCACGGAATGTGACATTCAAAGTTGACAAAAGTTTCACATCGCTGTAAAACCTGAACGGTCACTCCAACCATCTCAGTTCAAATTACGATACCATTATTAGGTCTTAAAGTAACAAATGTGGACCGATCAACAGCTTAAAAGCTGGGCCAGACCTGAAATTTTGTGGGCTTGTTCGACTAAGGGTAGGTGAGCTCTGAGCCAAGTATCACCAATATGGAAGGACCACCTATTCTAGCAAGCTCTATTTTTGTGAAGTTTTAATCATTTTTTTTTAAATATTTCCAAGTTTTTCATCTTTTTCCTAATTTTATTGCTTATATGGAAACAATAGTTTGTAGGTAAGCCAATGAAACCTGGCTGGTCCCTTTCTCATTACAAATGCCAAGTAGCCAAGGAATGCGACATTCAAAGTTGACAAAAGTTTCAAATCGCTATAGAATCTGAACGGTTTGGAGTTGCTAAAAAAAATTGCAGAGCCACTCAGGGGGTCATCCTGAGTGGATTGACACCTATTTTGGCCAATTCCATCAGGGCAGGTTGCGGGAGAGGGGGGGGGTAGGGCGAGGGATAGTACGGGTACAGCTAGACATCCCAAGAGAGACGGAAAGACTGCTCGCCGGATTGGCTGCCTACCTTCACGGGGCGTCTCAGCCGATTCGCGCGCACAGGTTCAGTAAAATTGAGAATTCTTGTGTTTAGAGGCCGAAACCCAACTTTTTCTATATACCAATCGAAAGCTTATAAAATTTTGAGTAAGTGAGTACACATTTGACAAGTTAAAATGCTGCCGTTTACTTATTTTCTTAATTGGAAAAACTTGTATTGCAAATTTTGAGTTTTAGCGGCATTTTTGCGAAGTTTGGCATCCACTTACCCGATCGGGCTCATATTGGTACCGTTGGATTCGTCTTAAAATTCCCTTTCGAATGGTATAAGCGGCATGCGTGTAGCTCATCACCCTGAGCTATGAAGCTCAAAAATGTGTATTTTGCTTAGCTAAAATTTGAGTGCAGAGTTGTTTGTTGCGGCCTACAGCTCCTAAGGGAGGGCCACACCCACTATTTTTGAATACATATATGGAAAGCCCATAAACTGAACTACAATTTAGCTTGGTCGGAAGTGCAGATTTGGATTTTCTACTAGGGTACGCAGGCTCGTGAAATATGGCTTCATTTTCATGTTTTTCGCAATTTACTCCACTGGTAATCACGCTAGACCAAATCTGAGGGCAGATTCGGATTCCTCATCGCATTTTACGTCAGAATAGATTAACCGCATAAAAATCGGACAAAAAATAGCCTTGTTGAGCTATTGTGAAGAAATTACAAGATTTTTAAGAGTAAAAAATTAAAATGCCGATTCTGACGAAACCACTTGAGATATCGACCTAAAAATTTGTGGGCATGTTCCTGACCACTAGGGCTACCTTCGTACCAAATTTGGTCGAAATCGTCAAAGGTGACCCAGATCCGTGTAAATCTTATATGGAATGACTCTCAAGCGACAGGACTGAGCAGAAATCTGCCCCACGACTATACTCAGTAAATACCAGAAAAGAACTCAAATTTGGAATTTCCTTCGCCGTGTGGTACACGAGCCTAACCTTCCACCTCCGCGTCCTTCTTGGCCTGCTCCCAAGTGGCGGCTTCGGCCCCGAGCGTTGCCTGCAGGCGGCCTCTCACGGCAGCCAGCCTCTGCTGTTTCCCGCGCAGCGTCTCACAGAGGTCGCGGGCCGCGCCCCGGGCCGCGGCGTCCACTGCGTCGACCATTTCCTCCAGAGTGGCCTCGACCTGCTGCAGGGCCTCCACGCGCGGCGCTGCCTCCTGGACGCGGGCCTTCCTCAGGCTGCGCACGGGGTGGTCCTCCACACAGGCAGCGTCTGCCTCTTTCTCGCAGCTGATGCACCAGAAGCGCTGAGGCAACGGCCTGGAAAAAGAGAGAATGCATTTTTAGCAGATGATACGTTCACGTATCAGCGTGCTTGTACTCTCGTGCAGAGAGTACCGAGTTTCCGGCTAGCCAGGCAGGAGTTTCCTCGTTGCCTGACTAGCAAGCCTAGAAGAGGCCGAGCGCCTCGCTGGCAAGGCAGCGGCTGGCTGGCCTGCCTAGAAGATTATGAGCGGAGGGCCCGCAGCGTGCCGCACCGCGCCGTCGCGCCGCACCGTCGCGCGCCGCACCATGAATCGGGGCGCCTGCGGGGGCTCGGGTTGCGCGCGCGGCCTATAACCTCGACACCCAGCTCTCTAGTACTCATGAAGTGCGTCCCTCGCGTTGCGCGTCGTCATGAGACGCTGCTACCACGCATCGCGTAGCTGCCCCCCTCGCCCATTCCCCTGCCGAGACGCCACGTCCCGCCGCGCCCCGCCACACCCCGCAGCAGTCTACACACACTCGCACTTGAGCCTTGAGTGCGTAGAACGCATAGTGCAGCGCCCCCCGAACCCCTGCCCCTCTCGAGAAGCGGCGCGTCGGCAGTCGGCAGTGTGCGCCACTCTTGCTTATCTATCTTGAGGTCGGGTTCGGGTGGCGCGCCGGCCGGCCGGCCCCGCTTGGAGATGTGGCTGACACGCCGCGTGCCGCAAGGCGGCTTGCCCTAGTACCGAGCAAAACCCTTTTACGGGTATTGAGTATTTATGTGATTAGCCACCAAATTGTGCATCCTCGCGTTGAAACAACGAAAATGATACCCAACACAAGTGGTATCGGACATATGAGTGCCCCACCGTCATTGCGAACATGTTTAACACAAAACAATGGCACGTTAGGATATTCAAAAGTTATACTAAGATTGACATTTCCATGAATTACCATGTGTAACAAATTTGTCTAAAAAAGAGTTCCGAGTGTTTACTCTTTGAAATAAATTGACAAAATGTCACATTCATACATTGAAATAAACATTCTCATAAGTATCATCTGCTTTCACGTTAGCGTTAGCGTTAACGTTTTTTAAAAACCACTCGTTTTGCGTACCATTTGAAATTTCACGAATGTAGCTTGAAATTGTACGACTTACGGCACACTCTACAAATCGAAGAGCGTACATTGTACGCTCACTGGGGCATGCCTACAAGCACCCTCAAGCTGCCTGCCAAGCATGCACTACTAGCGCGTACGTGCCTTGTACACGCTTCCTGATGCACGCTTCAGTTGGCGTGTCCATGGCATGTATGCATTAGTAAGAGCATGCTTGGCAGGCAGCTTGCGCGTGCAAGCGTACAATGTACGCTCTTCGATTTGAAGAGCAGATCCATTAAAAACATCTAAGAAGCGCGCAACGAGACACGATTTACATTCCAACAACCATTCCGTCATCGAGACAAAGATCAGAAAGGACCAAAAATCGTGTGTACAAAATGGGCAGCTCTGGCCTTAAACTGTCAACACCTAGCAAAACAAGTTGGCATTAGACAACTTAGTTTGTGTCGAATATATATGTGAATGAATGAACTCACACTTGCAGGTTCTGTAGTACGATGAAACAGTCAGGTAATTCCACAGCTTCCCCATCAAAGACCTACAAACAGAAAAGAAGAGCATTTCAACTTGATTAACAGTGCGAGGAGAATACTCGGGTACGGTTTCTCATTACGAATCCTGGCTGTTCAAGCAAAACAACCGAAGAAAAAAAGGCATCAAAAGGCTGTGGAAACGCAATTTTCTACCTTTTTGGCAGATGATTGTTAAATCAGCTAGCTATGACTCTCGATCGCACCCAACAGCTTTGCAAATCAGACGTATACCAAAGCAAGTGCAAAAGCAACAATAGCACATAGCAGTAGACCAGCTCTTATTTTGCGAAAGTGAGAATTCCGCTGGGTTCCCTGACTCAAAATGACCGAAATGGTGAGAAAACTTTTAAATTTTGAAACCCCAAGGTCGTCAGACTTACCAGAGCCGTGCCCAAGACCCTATATAAAGGCAAAACCCAAAGTTTTTTTTTCGGACTTTTACCAAACTGAGTTTGACTCTAGGGTAAACAGGCCATAATACGACCCTTCGGGCGAAAATTTCGTCCGTTTTGCGATATCTCGACTCCTTCATGCCCAAGCGGCCTCCCCAACCGCGAGCATGAAAAGACGCCGCGCGGCGGTTGGGGGGGCCGCTTGGGCAAAGGAGTCGGATATCGCAAAACGGACGAAATTTTCCCCGAGGGGTCGTTTTAGGGCCTGTTTCCCTAGAGTCAAACTTATTTTTGGTGAAAATCCGAAAAAAAAATTGGCTTTTTGCCTTTATATAGGGCTTGGGCACGGCTTTGGTAACTCTGACGACCTTGGGCTTTCAAATTAAGAGTTTTCTCACCATTTCGGTCATTTGAGTGGGGGAACCCAGGGGAATTCTCACTTTCGAAAAATAAGAGCTGGTCTAACATAGCATTAAACAGTTATAGCGAAAGTACTCAGTTGTGGCAGAGGCATGGCATCGGATCCCAACCCGACAGCGATAAGGCGCTAAGCAGCCGCCTCGGTCCTCATGTCAGCCCCAACCCCCCCCCACCCCGCATTAGACCGGCTAAAATTTCCCCGAAGGTTCGAAATGTCGATGCGCGGAAACGGAATTCGGTTCCTTTCCGGATTCTAAGACTCTGGGAATTTTTTGGGATTTTTGAGGTCACCGGAAGTGGTCCCGCACGGCAGGGTAAGTTAGGCGCACTGCTCATTGATAGACCAGCAGTAAAGGGGCCTTCATTTCGTTTTTCGGGCATATTCCATAAAACAAAAGTTGTCAGAAATGATCAAATTAATAAAAATATGTGATGTCTGATTTCGAAAACTAAAAATTTGCAATCTGGGTGCCTACCTGTAAGGGGCAACTGGCGTCTATTTTCGCTCTGAGCCCCAAAGTGAAGTGTATCAGGACGGAAAACTGTTTGAAAATGGATTTGGCCCTTCTGGTGGTGCTATTTTGAGTGCCTAATCTCCGCCCGTCTAAGGGATTAATTAAAGGCCTTTAATGAGTATTGTCTTGTTTGCGTTTGGGCGCCCGGGTTTGTGGCTAAGTTCGTTTTCTTTCAGTTTTTCGGAAATTTTCCGAAGATTCAATCGGGGAAATTAGAAGCGCGAGAATGTTAAAGAGAACACCGGATGGACAGGCCTTTAGCCTTTCTAGTCTGAAATGTAATTCTGCACAAGAATACTTTCATTGTGATTTACTTCTCCCTACCTCCAACCGATCCTTACTGAAATGTTGTGCCTGCGATGAAAGTTAGCGATTTGATTCCTTTGCTTCACCAACGCACATTCGCATGGACCCGGTCGAAACTCATTTCGCAAGTGCTTACTTCAGTCTTAGAGATTCATCCTACTCGGAACCGTTTGTGACCAATACATTGATCGTCACGAGCGTGCACTCATTTGAGTATACTCCCAGGTCACAACTGAGAACATTCTATCATAAGTGTGTTGAATTCAGTACTACGCGCCCGTGGGAGTGCGCTCGTGGGTGCACGCCAAAGAGTGCGTATTAAGTAGACCGTTGACTTTGCTAAGCAGATTCAGAATAGGACGAGCTTTTCGTCATGCGTACACTAGTGCTAAGCTTCTCATCAAAAACGTCATATAAACTCGCTTGCCGCGTTACTCTACGTATACGGCGGTCGCAAATTTAAATTTGGCTGACTGTTTCTGAGCTCGCACCTCACTTTCAGGGTTAGAAGTGTTCATTGATGAATTGCACCAATAGATTTATACTAGCTTTAATATGAAACGGCACTTACGTTATTTTCCCAACCAACACTTAATAACTAACAGTCTTGCCTCCGCTTTCATGTAGAGTTTCCTCGCAGTGCCCCGGATCACCGCGCTCCAGCCCTTCGCCGTGAGGCTTTGCCGTGGTTCTAGTTTCCGCACTATTACTGTGTCAGGGATTGAATCTTCGCAAATCATCGAGTAAAACGAAAAGAAACCAGTCTTCACCACAATCCGCGCGCCCAAACGCAAACAAGACAATACTCATTAAAGGCCTTCAATTAATCCGTTAGACCGGGCGGAGATTAGGGCACTCAAAATAGCACCACCAGAAGGGCCAAATCCATTTTCAAACAGTTTTCCGTCCTGATACACTTCACTTTGGGGCTCAGAGCGAAAATAGACGCCAGTTGCCCCTTACAGGTAGGCACCCAGATTGCAAATTTTGAGTTTTCAAAATCAGACATCACATATTTTTATTAATTTGACCATTTCTGACAACTTTTGTTTCATGGAATATGCCCGAAAAACGAATATGAAGGCCGCTTTACTGCTGGTCTATCAATGAGCAGTGCGCCTAACTTACCCTGCCGTGCGGGACCACTTCCGGTGACCTCAAAAATCCCAAAAAATTCCCAGAGTCTTAGAATCCGGAAAGGAACCGAATTCCGTTTCCGCGCATCGACATTTCGAACCTTCGGGAAATTTGAGCCGGTCTAACCCCGCATCCATACTCTTCGCTACACAGGCGGAGGCTGTCGCGGCGTCCCGGCGTCGCGGCGTCCCCAGATTTTGCGGTTTTTCGCCTCTAGCGGTTGGACGATCAATTTTACATACACACTACCCTTCTTTTGTTTTAATCGTATCCTCCCAATCTTTGCAATGCACCATTCAAATTTTCAAAATTTAAAATATGAAAAATGGTTGTCGTATTAACATAGCTTCTGGTGCTGCGTTTCCGCCTTCAAGCACAGTGCGGGATTAAACTTGATAGGGCGGCTGGTCGAGCGTTGCATATGAGAAACTTGATCGCACAGAACCTTTAATAGTTAAGGGGGGACCCTGGTGAAAAAATCGCCAAAATTGCGAAAAAAAAATTTTCAAAGTTCATAGATATAAATGGGCATAGAGGGTTTCAGATTCATCGGGTTGAACACCTTCAAGCTAAGTGGGTAGTTTCTATATCATTTGGAAGGAAATAACATTGAGATCAGTTGACGTTGGCTTCTACGATCAACTTCACAGCTTTGCTCAGTCGACAAAAAATTTTGTCGTACAAAGACTTCCTGCGTTCCTGGTTGACACCTACATGAGTCGTCTTGCATGGACTCTATTCATTGATGACTTGTGGACAAATTTTAGTGACAGAATCTTGATATCAGCCCTACTTTTTTTTACAAACACCTAAAAGTTTGAAAAAAAGAAAAAAAAATCACGTTTTTTAATGTTAAAATTTGGAAACTCATATCGCAGGACAGAAATTGAATTTGACAATTCTGTCATTAAAATCTCTTCTATACATCTTTAGGAAAACCCAAAAAAATTTTCAAGACTTTCCGTCCCAATGAAAGACGCAGGAAGATTTTTCCCCAACGCTCTAAAAAAGTGGCACTTTTCTCAGAGACCGTTCAACATTTTGGATTGAATTTTGTTTTGGGAACTCACCATAATGAAACTAATAATTCAGCAAAGTTTCAACTTTCTGGGATTATTTTAAAGCCCACTTGAAATTTTCACCAGAGTCCCCCCTTAAATCAAAATTAACATTTTCGTCCATTAAAGCATGCACGTGGTAATCATGAATTGCGATACACTAAAATTAACATTCTCGTCAGTATCATCTGCTTTCACGTTAGCGTTAACGTTTTTTTCCGACGAATTAAGTGATTGATGCGGTAACCTTTGCAGCCATTTCACCAATCGACGCTAGTCTCACGGCGTTTTGATTCTGAGCGAACTCACCTTCATGTCAACAGGGCACTTCTTGTCGGCGAGGCGGCCCAGACATTTCACACAGTACGAATGCCCGCAGCGGAGAACCTTGGGGCGACGCTCTGTCGCGTCGAACGGTTCCAAGCAGATGTTGCACTCCATCTGGAGAAGGGGAAGATACAAATAAGGGTGAGGTGAATGAAAGAGTTAACATAAAACACGAACACCGGAGGACAGTTGTTTTGACTCGGCTGTCAAATGGTACTCAAACATGCTTCAGTGATGCTCAAGCCCGTTGCAAAGTGGGAGGGGGTGCGACGGCAACGGCATGCGAAGTTAGCCCGCAAGCGGCAATGACACAGGTTTTAACCCAAAAGCATTGTCCACGGGAGCTATAGTTCCACCGAGGATAGAGTCGGACAGCGTAGGTTGTAAAGACAAAGTTTAGATGCTTCAATGGTTTAAGTTCATAAAACTCAGCGTTGTCTAAATTTGAACAAATTTTAGAAGCCAAATGAACCCACAGCATTAACAAATAAGCGACGGTTTTAAGGACTCTTTACGGCTTTAGTTATCCTTCTTGTTCTTCACTCGGCGCTCTGGAGGAAAGGTCAGATCGAGACGAAGAAGAGCTGAACCGGAAGTGCAGAGGAGCTGCTATCTCATAGTAAGTCTTCCTCTTTCCCGCATTTTCTTCACAACTTACGGACAACAGCTCGCCCTAATAGGGTACTTTCGTAGATCCCTGAACCGGAAGCACACAGACGCCATGTTGGCGGAAGTAGATCCAAACTTGACATAGGAAAGAGACGTTAGGAATAGGGTACTTTCGTAGATCCCTGAACCGGAAGCACACAGACGCCATGTTGGCGGAAGTAGATCCAAACTTGACATGGGAAAGACACGTTCGTCAAAGGTATCGGCCACACTTGAACAAAAACAGTTGTTTGATACTTGTTTGCAGTGCATATGTGTTTCGCGAGCAATATTTGTACAGCTCGGCTATAGTTTTGGATCCGAGAGGTTAGTTTCCGGCCAATTTGGCGTCTGCTGGTCTGCTTGCTTCCGGTTCAGGGTTCTACGAAAGTACCCTATACGTATCGGCCACACTTGAACATAAACAGTCGTTTGATACTTGATTGCAGTGCATATGTGTTACGCGAGCAATATTCGTACAGCTCGGCTATAGTTTTAGATCCGAAGAGAGGTTAGTTTCCGGCCAATTTGGCTTCTGCTGGTCTGCTTGCTTCCGGTTCAGGGATCTACGAAAGTACCCTATTTACTCTGCGTAACGTGCGCAACGTTACGCTGGCTGTGTTCCTCCCTCCACACAACTCACCGTTACGCAGGCCCAGAACCCGCTCGCGCTCAACGCAATGAACACGAACAGCAGGTCTCAAAGTGAAGAAGAATAAAAACAAAAGCCGGAAACAAGGCAAATGACCATTCGTCGCGACGCTCCATCAAATGTTTGAAGAGCAGAATGCAGTACACATCAGGTTGGGCCCGTAGTGGAGTGTGAATAAGAACGTGGACCGGAAACAGTCGCCAAAAACCACGAATTGAATAATGTGTATAGTCGACCCAGCCAAAGGTCTCGCTTCTTTAAGCCGTTGCAAATACCTCCTCCACAGGGCCGGGGGGAGCGGGGGGGGGGGGGGGCTGGTGCGGGAGGACTTTCGCGGTGGAGGGGGCAGTTTTAACGGTCGGAAGAAGCGAAACCATTGGCTGGGTCGACTATAGTCGTGGTCACTTTTACTTCAAAAAATACCAAAAGCGCAACCTTATACTCTAATGAGATTTAAAGCCTGCACAACTGTAACGCTTCATTAAGCAACAAGGAACGTTCTTCACAGAAATTCATTTGAGAATACCGCGAAGATCGATTCCTGGCAAACTATTTCCGATCTTGGTACTTGTTTTTCACTTTCACTCTCCGTCAGAATTGTATGCCAGAACATTTTACGACTTAACCCTGACAAAATTTTCAAGACAGTTCGAATGTGGCTACCGAATCCGGCGGTTGTACTCTTCGTGACGCCCTCCACTCGCGTGCGTTGTAACCCTGTTGCATTTAGCAAAGACTTACCCCTCTCTATGAAGCGTGCTGTTGCAGAATGTGTTCCGCCACTCGCAGTCGGTTCGGATGCTCTGCCGCGGACAGAACCGATGTTACGGAAGGGGCGAACGGCAGACTACACTCTACAAAAAATGTCCTGTCAACGCCGTTAATTTATTACCAATGTTTGCTGTTATGCAATTCACGGCGTTTGCTGTGAACTAGTTCACGGCGTTCACTGTGATCTCGGTTACAGTGTTCACTGTGATTTGGCCACAGTAAACGCCGTGAATTGGAGCCTGATTTGCAGTACTTCGGTGCTCAGCGGCGTCAAACTCACAGTGTTTACTGGGGACCAGATCACAGTGAACACTGTAACCGAGATCACAGTGAACGCCGTGAACTAGTTCACAGCAAGCGCTGTGAATTGACCTACAGTGAAAACTGGTAATAAATTAACGGCATTTACAGGACATTTTTGGTAGAGTTTAGGGTGATTTCCAGAGGCGTAGCCTAGTCCCAGACACCGGAAAGGCCCTTCAAATCCAACACGGTCTTGCCTCACTGCTTGCAGCCAGAGTTATCGCTTCGCTTCGAACGACTGTTGACGCGCAGAATGCGATAGCCGTCACGTCCGCGCGACGCCGGCTGTGCCTCACCACTGACTGCTGCCGTTGGCCGCCGCTGCCTGAGACGGGACTGCGCTGCGTCGGCACGGGGGAATACTCGAGGAGCTGTGCTTAGATCAGCGTTGCAGCCGCGGCGACGACGGTAGGGGGGGGAGGGGCTGTCGGAGAAGGTGAAGCAAGGAAGGTCGTTTGTGTTCCAAACTCTTTCAGTCGGAATGCAAAGGGAGACAAAACCATTCACAGCGCCGGGGACGAAACTCAACACACCACGGCACTAAATTCTTTTGCCCAACTTTTGTTCGCGGTCTCGCTAGGGTCTCGACCAATCCGACGCAAGTGTCTTTTTCCTATAAAATCGGTACCAAAATTAGGCCTGAGTTTCGTTGGTATTATGGAGAAAATCTCCACCGTAAAATGATCCAGGAAGCGGAAGAAGGGAATAACTTGACTTATCCCCAAATTGAGTTTTTATTTTATTATTGTGCCTTAGAATGGTTTACATCATTACACCAAATTATTTGACTGAATTCCAAGCAGTTTAGGAGAAAATCCTCATGGAAAAAGGGTATAACTCAACTTAACCCCTTTTACAGTTTAAATTTCATTGGAAAATGGAGATAACTCAACCTTAGTCTACATGAGTCCGTTTGACAAATTGGCAAAAGGATATAACTCAACTTGTGTTTTCATGGATCTAGTGTAAAAAGAATCAACTCAACTTAACCCCCCCTTAATTTTAAATTTCAATTTGGAAAAAAGAGCTAAGTCCAAAAAATACACCAGCGTAACATACACTTTATGCAGACTATTGTTCCACTTGACTTGTCTCAAAATTCCTCTTGGTTTAGGAAATATAAGGTGAGCTGACTCTGTTTTCCATTTCAGTGGAAAGTGATAAGTCGCAGAAATCCTCTACGGAGTGACCTTACACTTTTGATTTTTTTTTCCAAAATTTTACTAATGCTTTTTGAAATTATTAACATCTGCAACATTCATTTGTTTTGTTTTAGTTTTCCCTGCTAACAGTTTTTTGTTTCTCCTGAAAAATGACCAAAATTGAGTTATCCCCTTCTTCCGCTTCCTGGATCATATGTTGGTGCAACCTTTCACCGTAAGACATTTACTGTGTGAAAGTGTCTTTCACTGGTTAAACTAAGGCGTAACTCTATGCTTGAGTCAAGCATAGTGTTACGCTTGAAGCCGTTACGCTTGAAATCAAGCGTACTCTTGAATTTACCCCATGCATTTAGATGGAGGAAATCTTGGCGGTTGGGCCTGTTACGCTTGATTTCAAGCGTAAACTGATTACGCTTGAAAACAGAGGGTAATACTACGCTTTAGTTTTACCAGTGTTTAGCGCATAGCACTGCACTTGTTGCACCTTTGCGTGCGTCGTCAGTTCGCGCTCGCCTAGTCAGCGGGAACTTGAAGGGTATGACAATCTAAGGAATCTTTCTTGAAATTCGGCGCTGGGGGGCTGGACACACTTAATTACTATGTAGGTTTTTCTGCGCACCAATGCACGAAATTAAACATGCACTTCGTAACGCACGAATTTGTGCGCGACAATGCACGATTTTCTGCTTACTTGCGCACGAAATCGTGCATTGTCGCGCAGAAATTCGTGCGTTACGAAGTGCATGTTTTATTTCGTGCATTGGCGCGCACAAATTCGTGCGTTACGAAGTGCATGTTTTATTTCGTGCATTGGCGCGCAGAAAAACCTGCTTAGTAATTTAGTGTGGAGAATTCAGCCGGCGAAACCTTCCACTCGCACGGCTGTCTATTGTGCCGCTACGACCTAGACTTGAAACCAAATCTGTAGGTAGGTTCGGATCGTCACCTGCGAGGAATGTCTGCTGCACCTGAACCAAGTAACCAACCAGCGAGTCGTCGACAGTGGCGCAGCCTGCGACGCGCGAAGGTGGAGGGAGGGAACCGTATCACACGCAAGGCAGTGTCGTGGATTAGATTTCAACTCAGGTCAACATTCACTGTAAATCCTAAGGTGATACTTATAGTACCTTTTTTGGCCACTGAAAATCAAATAGTGATACATCTCACTCTCTGAGGGATGAGACATTACTGTCTCACCGAAAAAATGGTGATACTAAAATGTATCACCGAAAAAATGGTCGTACACGCATGTATCACCGAAAAAATGGTCGTACACGCATGTATCACCGAAAAAAAGGTCGTACACAAAATGTATCACCGAAAAAAGGGTGATACTTCCCCAGGAAAACAAGGGCCAATCTCGCTGATGTCTCACCGTTTTTTCGGTGATACATTTCTGTACGACCCTTTTTTCGGTGATACATGCGTGTACGACCATTTTTCGGTGATACATGCGTGTACGACCATTTTTTCGGTGATACATTTTTGTATCGCCGAAAATTGGTGAGATATCTCACCCTTCGAATTTCAGTGGCGATACAATTGAGTATCGCCAATAAACGGCCTTACGGAAGAGAATTGCCTTCCAAACGGAAATACACGAAAGTATCGCCAAAATTTGGACATACTTTGGGGTGTTGCTACGATTTATTGCACTCTCAGACCTATACGGACTTTTTTCTCTCTTGCTTATTGCGTTTTTTGAGCAAACATAAAATGTACTATTTTCTTCTTAGCTATGCACAATTTTGATCGTAATAAAGATAAAATTGTCAATAGATCATGTAGAAATTGAAACGTACATTGCAAACGACAAAAAGTCCGGTTTAATGGACTAAGAACATTATACAATAAACAAAATAGTGCATAGCTAAAAAGAAAATAGTACATATTACGTTTGCACAAAAACCTTTATGGCAAGAAATAAAAAGTCAATACGAGTCTGAGAGTGTGGCAATGAACTTTGAACAAATCAAGGGGACAAGTTCTTGGTTCAATGCCGTGATTTTGGCGATACTTCTGTGTATCGCCGTTCGGAAGGTAAGAGTTTTCGGTGAGGCCGATTGTTGGCGATACTATACGGTTTCGCCAGAAAATGTATGTAAGTATCGCCTTCGCATTTGCAGTGTGCGCGTTTCCAATTCTCCCAACGGAACCGATATCATTCTTGGACATAGATTCCAACCGGAACCAGATCAGGGACCAGAAGATCAGGGACCAGGAAAAGTTCTGTTCAGTACAAGCGGTTGAGGTTGGTCGCAGAGCTGTTTGAGAGAAGAAAGCCCTCTCGCCAAGTACGAGTAGAGAACTTCGCACAAACGCTCGTCGACCTACAGAGAAAGAACCCGAGCACGGGAAGTGTGATCTAAAACAGAGGTCAAAGAAGACCCACGTTGATCTATCCACTCTTGTCCAGGCCGAGCGAAGGAACTGAGTAAGAATCGAAGTAACGTTCGTAACATACATTTAAGGTGTAGAAACATACTTCGCATAGATTTGAAATGTTCACTGCTACTCCAAGTGTGGACCAAGTCCACGCTAGGAAACGTGGACCACGAATGGTCCACGCTAGGAAACGTGCACTCTAGAGTTCTTACGGATTACTTCATCCGTATTACAAACAAATTCATCCGTACCTTACAAACATTTTTGCGCAAGCGTAATACGGATAGCCTGATTTGTAACATACGGATGGCTTTGTCCGTAACAGATGTAGCTTTGTAACTACGGATAGTCTTACAGAATCCAAAGTAATTGCATTCATCGACACTCGTTATACAAACAGAATTCATAAATTACTCGTTGCCATACTGAGCGGAAACAGATAAGCAGTATATTATACTTTTTAATGCCAATTATCTTTTTTATGCACTAGCAAGCACTTTTACTTTTATTTGGCATATAATAGAGCTATTGATTGAGTTACTTGCTGATACGATAGACATTCTTGGGTAACGGTGGAGCAGGGCCACAGCAGAAAAAGATGTACTTACCGCCCAAATTTGGTGTTGATTACGAAATCACTGCATTTCAATAATCATACTGAGCAACTGTTCAATCTAACCAACCAGTTATTGTGGGCAGTTCCACAAAACATTCTACCATACTTCTTTTGAAGTTGGTGCGCTGGTGAGGTTATACTGTCTGCTGATCTGATACCGTATGCTGGAAGAACCGAGTGACAACAAAAATCACATGCACTGACTTCTTCAGTGTTTGCAAACAATGCCATCCTTGATGGACTTTGGGGTGAGACACCATCGCTGACACCAATTGTGAAGGCCTTAATTGTGCCTAAAATCGGCAGCACAAACAGCGGAGCGGAGTGTTTTCATTTTTTCTAAACACCGTCCCGCTAAACTTTTCATACGTGAAAGTATGAGAAATCCAACATTCACAGTCACCCCTTTGTTTCTGTGTAGATTAACCTCGTTTAGTTTGGTTTAAAATCAGAAACTACGATGATTTGCAAGTTTCTGGTTCATAAAAGTTATTAATTCACTTATTCTTTGAGAAGTGATGCTTGTGTCTGCGAAAACTGGACGGCTGTCAGTCATGTTAACACACACTTATCTGCTGTGGAGGATTGGAGACGTTGGGGGTGCTTTTATTATCACAGGTAAATTCTCTGCTTCCCAACAACATACATTTATAAATATAACAATACTTTTGTTTATATTTCAATTCTTTCTTCAATAAAAATGTTAGGTTAGGTTTCTTAGAGTGTCATTTAATAACTGTTGGACTACGGCCAAAATGGCACTTAGAAGATTTTAGTTTGGATAATCAATAGGTGAATGATGCAATATAAAGAAAAAGTACTATTCTTAGTTTGAAAACTAATGAAACTATATTGCACCTTATTAGTCTTCATATTGAAGTTAAGTTGATGTTAATATGGATTGGTAGGTTCAGATCAGGATTACGGACAAGTTGAGTTGATATTACGGATGGGTTTAGTAGCCGTAATTATGGATCAATAGTTGTGTTTGTATTTACGGATAATTTTGTCCGTACAGAAATTCTCAAAACCTGAAGATGCTTTTTATCCGTAATACAGATGTCGAACTCCGTAATATGGACAAGCCCATCCGTAATTACAATGAATCAATTTTGTCCGTAGCTTACGGTGATGACTTATCCGTAAGAACTCTAGAGTGTGGACCACGAATGGTCCACGCTAGGAAGCGTGGACCAAGCCGTGGTCCACGCTAGGAAACGTGGACCGAGCTGTGGTCCACGCTTCACAGCGTTGAACTTCTCATAGGCCAATCACACTTCCAAGTGTGGACCATCCGTGGTCCACGCTTCCAAGCGTGGACCATTCGTGGACTTGGTCCACACTTGGATTAGCAGTGTTTCTTGAATGCGAATTCGTAGTCGCGAGTGCAAACAACTTTCAGTGAACCAGAAATGACGGTTCCAACTTAACCCGAGACGACCGAATCTGATTCTCCTGTTTGAAATTCATTTAGCTCCTTACTCAAAATAGTCTATGAAGCATTGCGTAACTACGACGAAAATGGAGACATTTGTAGAAACGCCTCGTATTATGGAGAAATGCTTTGCATTACGAAGGATTTCTTCGTACATTTTGCAGTACCTTCGTGTTATTCGTATTACAGAGCGATGCTTCGTAGAATTTATACTGTGAATCCATTTCTACGGTTGTGTCCCCCTTTGTACACAGTAAAGTCCTTACGGATAGCGTGTTTGTAGGTTACGGATAGTTTTGTGCAGCCATATTACGGATTGAATTTTATTTGTAATACGGATGTTTTTGTCCGTAATACAAAGATTTGGGAATCCGTATGTTACAACGAAATTATCTGTAAATCACGGACATCAAAACCTCTGTATTACGGACAAAACTATCCGTATTACAAACAAAATTGGATCCGTAATATGGCTGCACAAAACTATCCGTAACCTACAAACACGCTATCCGTAAGGACTTTAGCGTGTACCGCAGTTGACTACGTCCCGGACAGTTTTTCAAAATATTATTCACTGTGCTTCGCCCCAACTTAGACCTGATGTTCGAAAGTCAGATGGAACATGGCATTTTAACGAGTCCCTGGACGCATACCTGCCGGTTGCAAAAGTTCCCTACCTTTTGGATGGAAAGCAGAACGCCAGAGCTTGGCAAGCATGTTCCAAAAGTAGAGTCAAGCTGCCATGTTTGCCCCAGGCGAAGTGTAGGCACGGGCATGCTTGAACCTGAGGCATGTGGCTATTCCGCTGCTTTTTCTAGCAGTGGATTTGCCAATTTAGTTTGCTTGCAGAGTGGTAAAATTTGCTGCGTAGTCTGTAGACTCCTAAAAGTATTCCGCGAAGAATCCGAAGCACCTGTTTCACAACTGCGGATAAAGTGACAGCACTGCGTGAACATTGAAAATAGTATTTAACGTTGTGCAGGAATTCACGAGTGGTCTCCTCAAGTCCTCGCCGACCCTGCCACCCATCAGCATGCAGACGCCGAAGCTCGCCGACCTGGCGGTGGGCACCGCGGAGGCGGCGCTGCGGGTGGCGCGCCTCCGACTGCAGTCCGCGGAGGTCGAAACAGACGCCGCCAGGACGTCTGTGCAGCTGGCCGAGCTCAGCAGGTACCACGCCGTCAAGCGCAGGGAGCTGGGCACGCTGCGGCAGCAGGCGGACGACAGCAGTGGGGCTGGGGTAAGCTTCTTTGAGCACATGTGCACCACTAAACAACTTACTGCCTACTCAGTTCACTGGTAGCCAGTATTTTTCTTTGTAAGCTTCTGCATGCTCTAAATAGTTTGTTATAACAAACTGCTTTTCTTTGTTTGTAAAGCCTAACATGGTTTGTAAGGTTTTCTCAGTACATGTACGCTCAATCTGAAGCGAAGCGTGATATGTTCTCATCCGAGAATGTATAGTTAGGACCTAAATGTTATGCCTTTGTTTTACCCACGGTGTTCCAATGCTCTGCCTGGTCCCAGCAGGGGGTGGCAACGGCCCAGGGAGAGCGTGAAGCGATGCTCGCGCCGTCAGTGCAGAGGTTGCGCAATTGTTCGAGATCATGAAAACTAGACAGTGTTTTTCAAAGCGCTTTGCACCGATGGAAAGGGCTTGAAATTTAGGGTGCATTAGGCTGATTGCTTTTCTCGAAACTCCCCCCTGACTTTATGTTAAGGTGCAGTGAAAACACCGAAAAACACGAGAAATCATAAAATTCAGGGAAAACTCGAATGCGCCATGTTGATGTAAATGATTCCGCCCTTGTGTTCGGTTGAATTTGGAAGTATCGGGCAGTCTAGCCAAATGCACCTTAAATTTTGTGCTCTTTTGATCTGCGCAAAGCGTTTTGAAATCAACGGGCTAGATCTTTCAATCGAAGCAAAATAAGTAAGCCCTGCACCTCCCTCGCGCATGGCTTCACGCGCTTCCTGGGCCGTTGCCGCCCCCTGGTCCCAGTAAGTCCCCTAACTCGGGGCGTAAGCCCGAAACTGGTTCTCAACTGCTTTGACCACTGTGGCAAAAGATTATCACAAGTTAGACTTCTCTGTAACTGTTTGCTAGGGGTGGCTGTGTGTAGAGATTTGCTGAAGTTGTGTTTATGATACCAGGTCCCGGTCAACGCTCCCTCGCCGCCCACTTCCCCGGCAGCCAAGAGGGCGAAGACAGCAGCCTCTGACGCTCTAGTGGAGGCCGAGAGACGTTTAGCAGAGGCCCAGAGTCAGGAGCCGGAGGCCCAGAAGGCGGTGGAGGCGGCGAGGGGCCGCGCGGAGGACCTGAGGCGCCGCCTGGAGCAGTGCCAGCGAGAGATGCGCGAGACTCTGCGCGCTGCGGAGGGGCAGGTGGAGCAGCCAGGCGGAGCTCAAACTCACAAGGTGAGACTTCACTGCAAATCCTGCGGTAAGTTTACTTGCCACAAATTTGGCAAGCCGTTCTTAATGCCAAAATTTGGCAAGCTTTGACCTGAAACCTTCTAAAGCTTCCCAAGTTTTGACAAGCTAGAACGTATTTCAGGGCCAAGCTTTCCAAGTTTTCGCATCCCAAACGGTTTGCCAAATTTGTGGCAAGTTAGCTCACCGCTGGATTTGCAGTGTTCTAACCGACTCGCGGCGTGGAAAAGTAGTCTGACGTGAGTAGAGTACTACAGCGTGCTGGTGTTGCAGGTGGGGCTGGCCTCGCTGCCCGAGGACGAGTTGCTGCTGGTGCTGAGCTACCTCGAGCCCAGGGAGCTGTTCGCGTGCCGACGAGTCTGCCGCCGGTGGGCAAACGTGGCGATGCATCGGGACTTGTGGAGTAAGAGGAGCCTCAGGGAGTACAGGTTAGGCGCAAATAAATTCCCAGAAAGAACGAACTGCCCGTTGTAATACAAAGAAAAGGAAGGCTTCGCAGCCTACGAAGGACATCGTTTGTGATACGAACGATTTTGTTTGTAATACAAAGAAAAAATCCTTCGCAGGCTGCGATAGGAAGTTCTTCGTAGGCTAGAAAGGATTTTTCCTTTGCATTTCAAACAAAATCGTTCGTATTACAAACGCTTTCCTTCGTAGGCTGCGAAGCCTTCGTTTTCTTTGTATTACAACGAGCAGTTCTTTGTAGGGTTCTGTGGTGTACTCAGCAAACTCGGCATTGTGCTGTCAGCTGAACTAAATACATTTTGTACAGAAATTATCAAATACACGGTATTTTTTTTTTCAGCAGATACTGTGAACACGCCATGTGTATACAGCCAACGCTGCGAACACGTCCGTGTATGCCGGCGTATGCAGTAAATGCTGCACATATGCTCTACAAACTCAAGTGTGCACATGGTACACTCCACCTGGAGCCTGCCTGGCCTGGCACGTACACTCCACCTGGAGCATACTTGGCATGTACACTCCAGGCTGGCGTGTACTTGCCAAGTACTCTTGCCCGTTCTATCACGTAAAGAATAGGGAGCTTTAGCAACAGTGTACCTGAAGGAAGTTTAGCGCGTGTACTTGCCGAGTACACGCCAACCTCGAGTGTACGTGCCAGGTATGCTCCAGGCTGGAGTGTACATGCATGCTGGCTTCAGGTGGAGTGCACTATGCACACACTTAAGTTTGTAGAGTGGCATGTACACAGCTAAGCAATGCATTCGGTTAATAGGCAGAACCGGCTGTATACATGAACTTGTACGCATCAGTACTGCATATATGGCAATGTACGCAGCATTTGCTGTATTCACAGCGGGTACACACTCACAGAGTGGTTACTTTGTACATGACCTGTATACAGTACACACTATGCACAATGTATGCCACATTCGTTTGAACGTGCGACGGCCGTTTGTACTTAGGCTGTCACATTCGTTAGAGCGTAAATCAACATTCAAACAAATCTGACATTATATTCTAACAAATGTGACCGAATTCACATTCTATCGAATATGACGCCACAAACCTTTCATCACAGTGCACACGTGCGGAATGGGCCGCGTATACTTAGTCATTGTACTTCCGCTCGCAAAGTTTATACGTAGTTGGGAACACACTTTTTGGTACTGACTTCAGTTCTTCTTCTGAACTGGGGCCGAGTTTTAGACTTTCGGCAAGCAGTGTGCCTTTAATCCTATGCACTGCAAAAAATCAGTGTCTGATACGGAGCATGCTACGGCGTTTCGTTTCCCCCCTGAAATAGTGATACGGACATCTGCCGTACCACTCCTCCCATTAGAGCCGGTGCTTTGCACGGCTAAAACAACGTCCGGGTTTCCCAGGGGCACCCTGCCGACCCTGTTTTTGCAGGGTGCGCCTGGGAAACCCGGACGTTGTTTTTGCCGTGTGTAACCATGGTACGGAAATTAAACGGAAAATGTACCGCTAATTTCAGACCGGAGGTTGCCGTTTCGGTTTTCCGTTTGTGAAAAAAGTCCAAAATGCTGTACGGACCGTGAGGAACGGACGCTCCGGAACTCAAAGTTCTGTAACGGATAACGTGTAACGGCCAGTCCGTATCCCTACGGAGTGACCGTTTCATGCGTTTCGTCAGAGAACTTTGCGTCCCGGAGCGTCCGTTCCTCACGGTCCGTAGAGCATTTTGGACTTTTTCACAAACGGAAAACCGAAACGGCAACCTCCGGTCTAAAATTAGCGGTACATTTTCCGTGAAATTTCTGCACCATGCTTTAGAAAGCACAGGCTCTTGTAGGAGGTGTGGTACGGCAGATGTCCGTATCACCATTTCAGGGGGTATACGGAACGCCGTATCATGCTCCGTATCAGACACTGATTTTTTGCAGTGTGTTTTCCAGTGTTTACTATGCCGGCAGTGACAACGTTGGACTGATCGCTGCAGCACTACGTCGAAGCCCCTGCCTGCGCAGCCTCACCTTGCATCGAGACCCTTTCGACCGTCTCGGCGTTCTGCTCGCGCTTTCGTGGTGCGCTGTGTCGGAACTCGACATCACAGTCAGAGCAGAGCACGCAGTCCTCTGCGCGATGCTGCTGAGCAAGTACGGACCACTTGTACACTATAAACCGAAGTGTTTACTGACAAGGGAACGTTCTCAGGTGTCAGTAGCCGATCGCTCCCATACTTCGGGATCTTCAAGGCCACCACAAAAAAAGAATTTGGGGCAGCCACAGTTCGTGCTGAAAGTCACAACGCCCCTAAATGAAAGTTGAAAATTGACCAATTTTCATGAAAATGACAAAAAAAATGATCTTTAACCGAAAGTAAAAGTTTCCAAGTGGTCTATATTGTCCAAAAATATAATTTTTTTTACGATTCGGAGCTAAACCATTCATGTCCCCTCAAAAGTGAAAAAAAAATTCGAAAAAAAAAATTGTTGTTAAAAGTAGTTTTGGTGACTTCCAGCACGAACTGTGGGTGCTGGAAATTCTCTTTTGAGGCGGCCTTGAAGATCCCGAAGTACGGGAGCGATCGGCTACTGACACCTGAAAACGTTCCCTTGTGAGTATCAGGGGGCGGCCCGAGGGGCGGCCATTGCCACGGAGATCGTGAAGCCACAGCCAGCGCCTCCGGTACAGGCATTACGGTACTCTACAAATCAAAGAGTGTACATGGTACGCTCTAACTGGAGCATGCCTGCATGCACGCTCTAGCTAGCGCATGCCTGCCAGGCATGCACTAACTAGTGCATACATGCCATGTACACGCTAACTGAAGCATACATTTACTGCATAAGGGATAGGGAGTTTTCTGCATCAGGAAGCGTGTACATGGCATGTATGCACTAGTTAGTGCATGCTTGGCAGGCATGCGCTAGCTAGAGCGTGCTTGCAGGCATGCTCCAGTTAGAGCATACTATGTACACTCTTCGATTTGTAGAGTACACTCCATATATCCTACTAAGCTTTTTCTTCGTAATACGAACCCCCTTTTCTCAAGATCCTAATTGGTCAACTGGATCTTTAAAAAAGGGGGTTGACCAAGAATTTTATTTTTATTCTTGATTCGAGTGTATTTTTTGAGACCTTTTCAACGAGTGGTTGGAACCTCGGTCTAAAATGCTGACGTCGTCATCGGGGACCCTGTGAGGTGCCCGACGACGTCCTCGGGGACCCAACGGTGACCTGTGTGGCTTTGACCATGCCGTCCCGATGTCGCATTGGCCGCTCGGACAACAGAGAGATGAACACCAAAAACAACAGCGATCTGTCTTTTAAAAGACGGAGATGACTGGTTTTGGGTGCAGAGCGACGCTGTGAAAAAATTTACAGGATTCCCTGTAGTTTTTTCTCGCAGTGAATCCTAGTCACTTTTGAACGGACGTTGCAGACCATTTTGACAATTTTTGGTCAAGAGCATGAATGCAAGTTTTTCCACAATTTTTAGACTTATGAGACGCCGAAAATTTGTTTTGCTCCTAGCTCAATCGTATTTTTGGATGTTTTAGACCATGCGGAGACTTTGGTTGAAAAAAACCTGTTTTTGTAAAAATCGACTTAACTTTTACCGAATTTTATGAGGATAATTAGTCACTGATAATTAGTACGAGATATCTCCAAAATACATGTTAAAAATCTGGATTCAACACCCGAGACATTTCCCTTGTTAGTTAGCTAGGTTTTCAGTGTGCCTCTGACTGGGTCAGCAGGCGCAGAATGCATCCTACTTATTTCTACGATTTGCAGGCAAGCTTCGATGGGGCGGCTCAAAAAGCTGAAGGTGAATGTTGAAAGTTCCAGTGTCCTGAAAAGTCCATGTGCCCTACGGCACCTGCTTCAAGAAGTTCTCTCCATCCGGGGTAAGTCGCCGCGGCGCCGCGGCAGGACTTTACAGAGATGGATTCGTCTCGACAAGACAAAGAAATAACAGGAAGAGTGGCAACACCAATTGGTGACTTTGGCCCGTCCCGTTTCAAAATTCAAAATTTCAATCGCAGACGATTGGAAAATATTGCAACCAAAAGTGGATACGTTTTTAAGCGTTACCAAATATCCACCTAATTGTCCATGGCTTTAACACAACATTGTGTTCATCGGTAGGACACATCACTTTGCCTCCAGACCTTGGGATTCGTTTTCGACAGACTTCTTCCATAGACTTTCTTGTGAACTTCGTTACGGACATATTTGATCCAGGAAGCGGAAGAAGGGAATAACTTAACTTATCCCCAAATTGAGTTTTTATTTTATTATTGTGCCTTAGAATGGTTTACATCATTCCACCAAATTGTTTGACTGAATTCCAAGGAGTTTAGGAGAAAATCCACATGGAAAAAAGGTATAACTTAACCGAAGTCCACCTGAGTCCGTTTGACAAATTGGCAAAAGGATACAACTCAACTTGTATTTTTATGAATCTAGTGTAAAAAGAATCAACTCAACTTAACCCCCCCTTAATTTTAAATTTCAATTTGGAAAAAAGAGCTAAGTCCAAAAAATACACCAGGTTAACATACACTTTATGCAGACTTTTGTTCCACTTCACTTGTCTCCAAATTCCTCTTTGTTTAGGAAATATAAGGTGAGCTGACTCTGTTTTCCATTTCAACGGAAAGTGATAAGCCGCAGAAATCCTCTACTGAGAAACCTAACACTTTTGATTTTTTTCCAAAATTTTACTAATGCTTTTTGAAATTATTAACATCTGCAACATTCATTTGTTTTGTTTTAGTTTTCCCTGCTATCAGTTTTTCGTTTCTCCTGAAAAATGGCTAAAATTGAGTTATCCCCTTTTTCCGCTTCCTGGATCATTTGTCCACATCTGTCTGTAAACAATTCAGCGATCCGATTTTTTTTTTATAATTATGCTTTCAAAAATCTGTGGACAAATTTGTCTATGATTTTCGTTCGAATATGTCACCATTTGGTAAAGTATAAAAACGTTTCCGCCATGGACACAAAATCGTGTGGGAACTGGTAACAACAATGTCTATAGCTATTTGATGTGTTATATAACCCATTAGGCTTCGAACCGGAGTCCAAACTTCTTCGATTTGCTCGAAATTGGCACCGTTGGCCCGATTCCAAACAAGGGCGTAAACGATTTACGCCCTCGGAGCGGCGTAAATCGTTAATGCAATTTGGAAGGGCATTAGTATTTTGCTTAAAATTCCTTTGCCATTAATGCCTTTTCCAAGGGCATAAAACGAATGCCCCTTAAAGTGCTTAGAAGAGTATCTATGCCCTATAGGGCGTAATTTTTATGCCTTTGTTTTACCAGTGTAATAAACCCTGTTTTCAGGTCTAGAAACGATCAAGGTGAAATTATCAGCTGACTTCGCTAAAGCTAAGGATCTTCTCAAGGCTGTGGGATACGAGTACCGTGCTCCGCCGGCCCTGCGGGAGCTGGTGCACAAGAACGACTTCGCGGACCCGTACCTGCCCCTGCAACTGGAGTGGCACGCGGCCACGCTGGAGGTGAGTGAGCGAAGTTTTGCTTTCTCCAATCACTTTTGACAAAAGTTGTCTAATTTCGCCTCTTTGAAGTACGGATGATTTCTATGAGGCTCTGACAACCCCAGACTTAAAGAGATACGGGCACAGGTGGAGCGAATCTGGGCACTTCCACGGGCGTTCCGTCCGCGGGCGCAGCACGGCCTCAGGGTTGGCACGGCGCAGGCAGGTGCAGTCGCATCCGAGGGCGGGTCGACCGTCGGCACGCAGTTACGGGCGGATGCGGGCAGTTACTGAAAGGCTCCCAGTACCCGTGTTTCCCTTGTCCGAGCTCGTCCACGAAACGATCTCTGCGAAAGACAGCAAAGCCCTCCTGATGCACCCGTATCTGGCCGTGGCGCTGCCTATGCCTGCCCGCACCTGCCGGGAACCGCCTGTAACTGCTCGCAGCGATCGGCAACTCTAGCCCGTCCCGCACGTTGAGAAATGTGCTCGGAAATGTGCTAATTTCGCCTATGTTTAACCCCAACGAGATTTGATCGTGAGTCTGGGGTCAAAAATAGATGTTATTTTCGTCATCAGCGCCCTCAGAGACATGAGAAACAATGCAAAAACTTGTGAAAAAAAAATTACTTGGAATATACCCCACTGGGATTTGAACCTGCCCTGACAAAAATTTTGTCGGAACTTAGCGACACATTTATTGCTAATTTTTTTTAGCGACAAGATTTGTTGTGGAACGAATACCTTGTTATACCAAACTCGTACTGGAACTATAGGATAATTTCACAACGACTAACTTGTTGGTCAACGACAAGTCTTGTAAGTTGATAAAAGATTTTGTAATGTCTGGGACAAGTATTCATGGAGTACTTTTGTTACTAAATTTATTTTGCCTAATTCTTTTTTAAAAAATAGTAATGTTGCTATGACTAAAGAAGACCAATAGATGATTATTCATAATATGCTTTAATTGAGCAGATAATTGCAAAAGATTTTGTTTCCATACAAATAGTATCGTTAAGGGTGATGACAAGAATTTTGTTCTTCAACGACAAATTGTCGCTTACAAGATTCAACGACATTTCTTTTGCTTTGGTTCGTGATAAAATTCTTTGTTTTGGAACGACTAAATTTTCACTCATCTGATTGTTTCTATACAACCATTTTTTAACAGTGTGGGTCCAAACTTCTCCGATCGCTCAAAACTAGCACCGTTCGCTTTGTCTCGTCACCCCAATTCCAAAAATACCCCTATATGCCCTTCCAGCTGTATCCGTTAGCGAAATCCTCCTCGACCCCAAGTAGACCATGATGCACCTGCAGCAGCGCCCGCGGGGCTCGAATCGGATTTAGTGCCACCAGGCGGTTGTAAAGGTCACCCAAGGAGCCTGCATACGGAATTCGGTCAAGATCGGACCACGGGAAGTCCTCGGACGGACGGACGGACGCACAGCATGTGTGCCCGTCTCTTCAGTATTGTCGTTTACTTTACAAAAAATACACGGGACGTGCCAAAAATCACATGACTTCAAGATCCTCGCTGTAACCTTTTTGTCACTAATCTTTCCGCTCCGGACAGGTCGTGAGATTCCAAAGTGCGTTCGACGGCGCCGCTTCTCTTCTCAGCGTGCTGCCGCGCCTGCGGGAGTTGCGTTGCCCCCTGCTGGCCGACATGGAGGACCTGCACTGCCCGGCGCTCCGGACGCTCCACCTGGAGGTCTACGTGGGCGACGCCACGCGGCCGTGCCTGCCCGGGGCGGGGGTGTTCCTCCGCGACGCCGTGGCCCACCTGGAGGAGCTGACCCTGGAGTACGACGAGAACGAGGAGAACGCCGCCGCCGTCAACCTGGTGCTGAGCCTGGCGGGCTGCGGCAGCGCCGCACCGGCACTGCGTCGCCTCGCGTTCTCCTACGTAGACGCCTTCGTCTGGACCGTTCAAGAAGTGATGCGACCCCTGACCGCCGTTCTTCACCGCCTGGAACGCCTCGTGTCGCTCAACATATGTGGGCCACTCCCGCGGGTAGGTAAAGACAGGCGACATCGCGATAATTCGAATTTTCTACAGAAATGTTACAATTTTGCGGTTAGAACCGTGAAAAATTAAAAGTTGTCCTATTTCATTCATATTAGGCTCGTTTTTCTTGTTGCGGCATGCAGAATGCGAAACGACATCAAGCGCCACACTTTTCGAGAAAAAATTTCTTTACCCCTAAAATCATAGGGGAAATCCGTGGCAAATCGGGTACGGAGTTTACACCAAAAAAAAATACGCTACCCCCTCTTTTGAAATTTGGATACCAATAAGATGCTAGCCATTGGACTCACATTCCTCAAACCATTTTTTAACAGTGTAGGGACATCAAATTGTAACATTTCCGTAGAATGACCCGTCTCACACTTGAAAGTGTGAGACTTCGTTGTCCCACACTTGCAAGCGTGAGACTTCGTTGCCCCACACTTGCAAGCGTGAGACAAACGTGGCTCACACTTGTAACCGTGACACAAAATGTCCCACACCTACAAGTGTGAGACTGTCTCACACTTGTATTGGCAGTGTGTACACTCTTCAATTTGTAGAGTAGGATTATTCTATGAGGACGCGTCGGTATGTAAGATTCAAACTATAAAGTTTGTTTTACGCAGAAAAACTTCGTAAATTACGAGGTATTTTCTTTGTAAGCTTATGTATTATGTAAATACTTTTCTATAACAAGCTAGTACTTTCCTTTGTGTGGCCTAGAATTGTTTGTAAGGGTTTGAGAGTGCGTGATGTGAAGCACTACACTCTAAATGTCTTACGAAGAAATTTCCCATAATACGAAGGAAATGGCGCAAGCATAATACGAATGTGGTTTTTCTTCGTATTACGTAGGTTTTTCTTTGTATCTTACAATGATAAAGCTAAAAAGATTCCTATTACGAAGGAATATTGCTTCGTATTATGCTTGCGCCGAATTCACTGTAACTTACGAATAACATAGGTCAAATTTCATTGTAGGGTCAGGGCGGGGAAGAACTGGACGTTTTGCAATCTTTCTCGATTTTGACTCTAATTGACTATCTTTAGCCAATGTATCCGTTGGGTCTGTTGATCGAGCCTTAAAGAAAGACATTTCAACCCTCAGCGAGTGCGTTTGCGGCTTCATTCAGTAATAAATGGGAAAAAACAGTGTGCGATTCTTCCCCGTCGAAACGGGGAAAAATCGAACACCTAGGGGGAAAAATCGGACATAGGCTTTAATTTAACAAAAACCTATGAAAGAAGGTCAGAAATCTCTTGGGAATGATATTTGGGGGTAACACTTGCGATACCCACTGAAGCAGGCGCACGAGTATTCCTTGATTGCACTGTAAAAAAAATATTCTGAATTTTCAGACAAAATTTGACTGAAGTTAATTAACAGTAAGGGGTTCTGAAATTTCAGACCATTTCGGCGGTCTGAAAATCTAGAATAGGGTGGTCTCAGAATTTAGAATTGGGTGGTCTGAAAATTAAGATTTAGGTGGTCTGAATTATTAGACACGGCCAGTCTGAAGAAAATTCAGACAAAAACACAAAATTGTAACGTTAAACCTTTTCTTCATTGCAAGAGAAGCCTTGCGCGTTACTTATCGGCCGTGCTCTTTACTCGTAAACTCCGAATATCTTGGTATTCGAACCATCGAATCCTCGCTCGTCGGCTTCGCGGGCTATCCATTACACCACGGGACCGCTCTGGGAGCCCGGCTGCAGGATGCCGATGACTCCAAGCGCGCTCGCTGGACGGTGGGAGGCCACCAATAAACAAGCCAAGCGCGTGTTGCGGGAGTTAAACTGCGGACAACTTGGGCTGTTCGTGAATATTTAAGATTTTGTATCGAGCTCTCAAATATTGCGGCTAAATTTGGTCAAGTGAGGCAACCAGTCTGACATTTCAGAACAATACGTCTCCCGTTTTAGACCCTTGGTCTGAAAATACACAGCCAGTTTGAAATTTAAGATCAATCGGTCTTCTTTTTCAGGAGAATAGTCTGAAAAGGCGATTCAGACTACATGGTCTTGTACTTAGTCTGAATTTTCAGTCACCCCTGTCAGACTTTTTGTCTGGATGGTCTGAATTTGCTTTTAAGACTGCGAAAGTCTTAAATTTCATCCGAGGATTCTTCTTTTGCATACTTGTGGTCTAAATTCAGAAATCAGACCACTAGGTCTTACAAAATTGGTCTGAATTTTAAGATTTTTTTTAACAGTGTGACAGAAATCATCGTAGCATTGTTAGGGGGTCCGTGGCGGCACGTTTTTGAGGTTAAATGACCAAAATGTATGAAATCGTCAACAGCCGTGTTTGATTTCCCACTAAATGTTGGGAAATGATAAAATACACTTGTTACGACCACTTTGGTGCAATGTTAGTACAATTCGTCGATTTTTATAGAAAAAAGAGGTGTTCGATTTTTCCTCGCACCAGTGAACGGTTTTTCCCCGTTTCGTATTTAACCCTTCATATGTAATCCAGCTGGAAATCTGCTAAAACATTAGAACGTATCTTGGGCTCCACACTTCCAACTTTTGTTTACAATAAGAATATTCGTCACAGTAGGCTCGGAAAGTCGTTAAAAAGAGATATTGCGGGCACCAACTTTAAAAGTTTTTAAGGTGTTTTAAACGAGACCTCGTTTAAAGGTGACTAAGAATACTTTCCGGTTCAAGTAGGCTAAATTCCTCTTAAACGGAATCTAGCAGATCATCAATAAGCAATACTGAATACTTTGCACGTCCCAAAACAGGCATATTTGTGGCGAAAGTGCGGTGTGCGTTTCTTCCCCAACTTGCAGGTGTCCGGTTTTTCCCCGCCCTGACCCTAAGACATTTAGAGTGTACAGCGATTTGTCGCCAAAAACAATCGCTGTTGGTGAGAAATGGCAATGCTTAAATTTTGATGTCGCCCATCCTTACTCGCAGGACTTCTTGGACGCCCTCGACGGCAAGGTGCTGCCCCTCCTGGAGGAGCTGTGCTTCACCTTCAACAGCGACTGCCCGCACGCCTGGGCGCACGGCGCTGTTGCCAAGAGTGTCCTGCGGCGCTATCCGCGGCTGCACTTGGTGGTGGACCCCGCGCATGACCCGTCCGAGTGCTCGTACTGTGTGGCCAAGACCTGCCACGACTTGGACGAGGATGAAGCTTTCACTATATTCAGCCATCCCGTCGAGGCGCCCTGTGGCGTCGAGCACAAGGCACGCGAAATGCACATCGCTCTGGACTGATATCAACAGTAGTCTGGAGGCATGCTCGCAAATTATGTCGCAACTTTCCTGTCGTGATTTTTAGGGTTCCATTCAAATGGACTTCAGTGTGTTGAAAACGGAAGTCCTGCATATGTTCTTCTGTATGGATCGTTTGTTTTTCTCTGAGATTAAATTTTGCAAGAAGTGGAAGTTTTTTGATTTGTTTCCTAGGCTTGTAAAGACATATATGATACATCATACATAATAAAAGCACCTTGTAAAAACATTTTATGATATAGAAGGATTAGGGTTTTATGATTTCTGAATCAGAACCCTTTTCGATAATTGAGTAAGCTTCATTTTGACTTAAAGCAAAGTGACTTTGGACACTCATTGGAAATTTAGTAGTAACATGTAAAATTTTGGTTCTTGTAAGATTTTGTTCGCATACTGTACTTGTGCAGTGCAGATGTGGGGGAAAATCTGGGAGACTCATCTCTAGTGTCATAGAAATTGACTAGAATGGGCTATTAATCTGCACTGAGGAAAAAAAAAAATTCAAAAAATTGTTCAAAATTTGTTTTAAAAAAATTATTATTTTTCCTGAAAACTATTGCAGATTAATAACTCATTCTTGTCGACTCTGTGACACTACTAGGGATGAGTCTCCCTGATTTCTCCCCTACAGATCTGACCCAAGTACGCGACAAAATCTTAAAAGAACCAAAATTTTTAATATTACTACCAAATGGCCAACAACTGTCCGAAGTCACTTAACTTCATACATTTTTGTTGGAACACGAATCATTAAGGTCATAGCGCCAAGCGTAGACTCTTAGGGTCACTACGCACAGACACAAGACATTTTGTCAAAAAGCTGTTCGTTTGCCCACCCAAGATCTTCAATACACTGCCAAAAAAGGCATTAAAGCTACGCTCATAGTTTTTCGCGCCCTTCGACGGCTTAGCAGGGTGATGCAGGGATCAGTTAATTGAAGGAGAAAAAAACAGAATCCCGCGTAGTCTTTCTTCATTAAAGAAGGAGCATGTACGTCAGGTTACATCCAACTACAAATGTTACGAACAAGGTACAGAACATACAAATGAGCCTGAGCTCAAAATCCAAATAGAACATGAAAAAAAATACAAGGATTAGACTGGATAAAGCTTTTCAGTCAGTGACTGGCAATTTTATATGCCTTGCAGCACCTGGAAGACCCGTTTCAGATCCTGACAAAAAAAAAGTCGGAAAGTGTGATAGTTGACTAAAATTTTAATTAAGATGGGGTCACCCTTCTGCATAACTTTTTTATCCCTCGCCCTTCCAGAGTTACAGAAAGTGCAAAAGTCAAGTGCTTGCACGCCCTGGACAATATAAAAAACTGTTTCCAACGGCCTAATTGATGGATATGATTTCTTCACTGTGGCATAAAACAAAGCGTCCACTTAGAGGCCAAGGATATCTGTTGTGCTGATGTGTTTCTCAAAGCACAAGAAAACCTTGGAAGAGATTGATACAGAACTGAAAACTATGTTGTGCAATCTTGCGAAACCCCCGGGCGGAACGCAGTGCCAGGCAGTTCAGGCTCTTTTAGCGGCTGTATTCAGAACTCTACGAGAAAACTGGGACGAACTTAACTAAGTCTGTTCCGGTTCACTCAAAAACTTTGAATCTGAAAAAGTATTATGAAAAGGAAACGTGCGATCGGACAGTGGCGTTAAAGACTGAAGTTCAAACATTAAATGGTTTATTTAGAGTGGAGAAAGTTCCTGCTTCAACATGCCACATAATCACGATGCGGCGGGCAGGGGGGGCGTCAGAGCCACCTTCGGCAGTCCCTGGGGCAGCCGGGCCGCCTGGTGTGCGCCGAGAAGGCGGACTGCAGGCCTGCGTGCGTCCGGAGCTCGTCCCGGTGGCAGCGCCAGAGGCACCACCGACAGGCACAGTCGTCCTCGAGGGTGGGAGGGCCTGACAGGCGGAGGTGGAGCCCCGCGTTCCTCGCGAGGACGTCCTGCACGGCCGGGTCGTGCAGCCAGGCGTGGGGGCAGCCGTGGGGCACAAGTTGCAGCGTGGCAAGGCGCGGTGTGGAGGCGGGGCTCACTGCACGGAAGAAGTCGTCCGAGGGCATGGCGTCCAATACAAGGGCGAGTGCTTGCAGGGATGGAAACCGATGGAGTGCCGCGGCCACAGGCCACTCTCCCACGCCTTTTAAGGACAGCCTTTCCAGAACGGGGGCGGACGGCGATTGGGCCAAAGCCTCTAGAAGAGCGGCGCCGACAATTGGGCGGTTGGGTTTCAAGTGGAACTCCACATGCCGCAAGCGCGGCCCCTGAAGGAGGAAGTCCACTGTTCCCGGACAAGGTGCGTCCTGCACTTCGAGATCCAACAGCCCAAGTGTCTCCAGGTTGGGTAAGCTTTTCAGCTGAGATAGGTCATCAGTCGGAAAGCAAGTCAGGGAGCGCAGCCTGGGCAACGATTTTAACAGCGATGTGGGGAGCCCATCCTTTAGGTACAGATCAACATCTTCAAGGGTGGCCGCGTGCGTGCGCAGCAAAAAACAGAGGAAAGGGTCAGAGGCTGCACCTTCGTAATGGAGTGTAGTTAGGGAAGGTCTAGGCTCGAGGTCTGACAGTAGAGGCGGTAGCTCTGACATGTCCGAGTTGATCCGTATCCTCAATACGCGTAAGTCTTGAACGCAGTAAACCATCCGCAGAAGGGGATGCAAAGCGTCGGGGGCGGCAGGGTTCAGAAGTAGGGTGATCTCTCTCAAGCCGCCCAGAGTGGAGAGCCTTTGTACTATGGCGGTGGCCCAGGCAGCATCGGTCTCATTCTGAACGGACAGCTTGAGGTCGGTGACGACGCACTTGGAGTTGCAAACGGTGCAGGCCGCAGCCTGCAGATGCGGCGAGCGCAGCGAGACTTTGCGGAGGCAAGGAGCGAGCCTGAGCGCGGCTTGGAGAAGGCCTTGGTCACCGCCACGGAGGCTAACAGAGCGCCAAACGTCCGGGTGGAGGCTCAGGTCCCGGAGCCGCCGACACACCAATCGGAGGCGGAAGACCTCTCTGGGCGGCAGGAGGGCCAACACGCGCACCAACGCGTCGTCCGGCATGGCCAGCAGCTGTGGGCACAAATCGGATTCACCTTTAAGGGGAGGTTCTACTGAAAAAATGGCACTTTTCAAATTGAGCCCCAGTGTTAACATTTGTTGCATACGTGTAGTACTACATAGTTAATAGTCAAACATAAAGTTTAGAGCCCAATACCTTCCTCCAAATCCAGTCGAAGAGGTTTTTTCAGCCTATTTTAGAAATATCTTAAAAAATTCTCCTACGCAAAGTATTTCAACGTAAACTGATGTCCTGGACATTTTTCACTTCTTTGGCACATAAGCAATAAAGCTTGGCATCACCAAGACATGAGACCCAACAAATTTATTTTGGCACTGCCTATCAGAAAAAAAAGACACTAAAATATCAGGATTTTGACCATTTTCTTGAAATTTTAGTGACATGCTGTATTGAAAACACAGCTTATGATTTTGCAATGGTCCCAGTATGTTACTAATGCCACGGTTTATCAATTATGAACCAAAAAAGTGAAAAATGACCAGAACATCAGTTTACGTTGAAAAACTTTGCGTAGGAGAATTTTTCAAGATACGACTGGAAAAAGCAGAAAATTCCTCTTCGACTGGATTTGGGGCTAGGTATTCCTCTCCAAACTTCAAATTTTACTATTTACAATAACATACTTTAAATTTACAATGAACATACAAAGTGGGACTCAATTTGAAGAAAGTAAGATTTTCAGTAGAACCTCCCCTTAAAGCGAAATGGGCCAATGTTGTAGATGATTATTGATCCATGAAGCGGAAGAAGGGGATAACTCAATTTTCATCATTTTTCAGGAGAAACAAAAAACTGTTGGCTGGGAAAATCAAATCAATTCAAATGAATGATGTGATTACACTTTTGTCAAAAAAGCATCAGTAATAACTGTAAAAAAATTCAAAAGTGTAACATCACTCTGTAAACGTTTTCTGTGAATTAAAAACTTTACGTTAGAAAGAACTTAGAAACCATGTTTACTTAGTTCCACTGCGAGAAAAGATCACGGTAAATCCTGTACTGATTACTCCAGACTTCACCGTACTTTTTTTAACAGGCTACGCCGTCGTTTTTTTACAGGCAATTCCGTACTTTTTTTACAGGAAACGCCGTACTTTTTTTACAGGGAATCCCGTACATTTTCTCCCGGCAATCCCGTACTTTTAATACCTATCAAAAACTGCTATAATTTTGTTCAGTCGATTGACCCTCTTTTTCCAAGTTCCTGATGTACGCAACTGCTGAAGTCGGACTCCTGGACCCCTCTTCCGACCACTCGTTGGAAAGGTCTTGACGGGACCTATTGAAAGGTGCAATAAAATTTTTCAGTCGGTAGACCCCCTTTTTTCAAGATCCTGATGTGGACACTTCTTGGAAGCGGCCTTTGATGGGACCAGATCTGGTCTTTCCTACGGCATGGACTGTACGGAAGAACGGTAACTACTGCACTGTTAGGGATTTTGTTGTAAAATAACGAGTAATTCCCTGTTAATTCTATAGGACAAATTGTTCGTAATTTAATGAGTACAGTCGTTATAATTCAAATCTTCAACCATATCATTTTCAGGTTGGTCTCGGTTTGCCTCGACGAAAAAACGTGAAAATAGAACTAATAATGTACCTTGAAAATTTTACGACTTTCTTTGTAAATTTACGATTTTTCCTGGTTAAATTACGATTTTTCTTTGAAATTTAACAAACTTTTGTAATTTTACGAACAATTTGTCCTATAGAATTAAAACAGGGAATTACTCGTTAATTTACAATTAAACTTGTTAAATTACGATAATGCTTGTAATATGACAACTTTCGAGTGTGTAATGACGACATTCTTCGTAAAACTACAGCTAAAGTTCGTAATTTTACAAGATTGACCGTAAAAATCTGTGTAAAATTGTGAAATTTTTTTTTGTATTTGGCCAAGAACGAATACGTTCGTAAAATAACGATTTTATGTTGTAAAATTACGATGGTATTCATGTACAATAAAGTTGTAAAAATACGACTTCCCCTTACAGTGTGTTAAAAGACTACGGAATATTTTGTAAAACAAGTACGGTAAATACTGTAGACTGTACGGAGGATACTGGTTTTTGAAGTACGGTAAAGTTTGGCAAAAAAATTATCCAGGATTTACCGTCATTTTTTCTCAGAGTGTCTCCCAAACGAGATGGAATATGGAGACAACACTGAAAATCCAAGTGTGGGACAGGCATGCACTAGATAACGTGGGACAAACTGTCCCACGCTTTTAAGCGTGGGACAAAATGTCCCACGCTTGCAAGCGTGGGACAAACCGTGTTACACGCTTACAAGCGTGGGACAAACCGTGTCCCACACTTACAAGCGTGGGACAAATCCGTGTCCCACACTTACAAGCGTGGGACAAACGGTGTCCCACGTTTGTAAGCGTGGGACAAATCCGTGTCCCACACTTGTAAGCGTGGGACAAAGTGTCCCACGCTTGCAAGCGTGGGACACGGTTTGTCCCACGCTTACAAGCGTGGGACATTTTGTCCCACGTTATCTAGTGCATGCCTGTCCCACACTTGGATTTTCAGTGAACTCAAGTGGAACTGAGGTCTGCATACAGTCTCTATTGCTGAGGGTCATTTTAAGAGTTACCTCTTTTTTCCATTAGTTTTTTTAAAATGAATTTGGAGTTAAGTTGAGTTGACTCTTTTTACATTAGATTCATAAAGACACAAGGTGAGTTATCTCCTTTTGCTATTTTGTGAAACGGAGTCATGTGGTCTTCGGTGAAGTTGGCTCCATTTTCGGATGAAATTTAGACCGCAAAGAGGGTCAAGTTAAGTTATATCCATTTTCCAAGTGGATTTTCTCCTAAACTGCTGGGAATTGATTCAAAATAATTTGGTGTAACGATGCAAACTGTCCTGAGGCACAATAATAAGATAAAAACTCAATCTGGAGATAAGTCAACTTACTCCCTTCTTCCGCTTCATGGAACGATTCCGTTACTCCCGTGGGATTAAAAAACTTTTTCTGTCTGCATGCGTGCGTGCGTGCACTGCTACTCCTGAACGGCTCGGCCGATTTGGGTGAGATTTTGCAGGGTCGTTATGTATATCTTAGCTCGCCACACACCAAAATTTAGCCTTCTTCCTTAACCCCCTGTGGTTAAAACCACCAAAAAAAAACTTTAAAAACGGCAGGAAAAGGCATGGTTTGCATGAGCGGGAGGAGGATTTCGGCGATAACTGGTGCGAACACGGCATGTAGGGGTGTTCTTGGAATCGAAGCGACCAGACCAATTCAATAGACCCGGTTCCGACAATATCGGCCGATTCCACTACGTGACTAGATCAGGATCTTAGAAACAGAGGGTCGGATCGACTGAAAAATTTTATTGCGGTTTTCGATAGGCCTACTTAGATATATTCTACTTGACACCGTCACCAAAAAGTGCTCCACTCATTGCTTCACCTTAAACTTCTGTCACAGCCTTGCCGAAGGCAGTAAGCGCCGCAGGCCAAGGTAGGTGTACACGCCAGGCGTGGATTGTCGGAACTGGCACAGCATCGCGAGGCCTGTTACGACAAGACACGGTCTGGCGTACACGTACCTTGAAAATCAGTAATACAAACCTTGAGACCCGTCATTCTGGTGTGAACGAGGGAAACTGCGATCAAATTTTGTTACTATATTTAAGGGGGGACCCTGGTGAAAAAATCGCCAAAATTCCAATAAATTGTATTTTCAAAGTTCATAGATAAAAAAGTGCATAGAAGGTTTCAGATTCAACAGGTTGAACACCTTTAAGCTAAGTGAGTAGTTTCTTTATCATTTGGAAGGAAATAACATTGAGATCAGTTGTCGTTGGCTTCTACGCTCAACTTCACAGCTTTGCTCAGTCGACAAAAAATTTTGTCGTAGAAAGACTTCCTGCGTTCCTGGTTGACACCTACATGAGTCGTCTTGCATGGACTCTATTCATTGATGACTTGTCGACAAATTTTAGTGACGGAATCTTGATATCAGCCCTACTTTTTTTAAAACACACCTAAAAGTTTGAAAAAAGGGAAAAAAATCACTTTTTTTTTAATGTTAAAATTTGAAAACTTATATCTCAGGACAGAAGTTGAATTTGAAAATTCCGTCACTAAAATCTCTTCTATACATCTTTAGGATAACCCAAAAAAAATTTCAAGGCTTTCCGTCCCAATGAAAGACGCAGGAAGATTTTTCCCCAACGCTCCAAAAAACACTAAAAAGCCACTTTTCTCAGAGACCGTTCAATATTTTGGATTGAATTTTGTTTTGGGAACTCACCATAATGAGCCTAATAATTAAGCAAAGTTTCAACTTCCTGGGATTATTTTGAAGCCTACTTGAAAGTTTCACCAGGGTCCCCCCTTAAACTCAAGTTCTTTGGAAGAAAATGGTCTAGAAAAATGCCGTTATCTGAACTTATCATCTTGCCATGTTGTTTGAGGTACTAATAATTGTTCCAAAAAAATTTCTCTTGTCCACACTAGAATGACATGTAATACCAAATTTGGCCCCTTAAGGTGCCACCGTTTGGTCCAAATTGCTCAAACCAGCGACCTGCGTATTTTTTGCATTGGTTAAGAGAAATTGGACAACTCGCAGTAGCTGTTTAAGACACATATCAAAATTTGTGATTTTGATCGTTAGTTACAGTATGAAAAGATCCTATGATCAGTTTTGACGTCCCGTATGGCATACGTCGCGAAACATTTGCGGAAACACAGTATTTTTTGACCTTGCGTAGTGTACTACCCCCTTAAAAGCTTGGAAAAAAGGAGCTAACTCAAGTTATGTCTGTATGCATGTATAGGACAAAGGAGTCATCTCAACTTGAGTCCAAATTATCCTATTTCATTTTGAGACAAGTACGATTGTGTCTAAATGCCACAATGGCATTTGGGGAAAATTGCAATTGAGTCTAAATGTCTCAGTTGGAGAAAGAGGTAAGTCCATTTATACGATTTGTCCCCTATGAAGCCAAAAAGCTTGAAATTTGATGAAACTCACAGGAAAATGGATTACAGCGTATTGACGGCGACACTTCCACTTCGTTGGCGAAAGCAGCCAATCCAAACACGGGTTAGGCCTCCACTCCACGAGTCCTGATTTAATCCATTTACCTGCAAGTTTCATCAAATTTCAAACTTTCTGGCTTAATAGTGGATAAATGGACTTCTCTCTGTTTGCAACTGTGATATTTAGACTCAATTGCACCTGTCTCCAAATGCCTTTGTGACATTAAGACACGATCGTACTCGTCTCGAAATGCAACAGGATAATTTAGACACAAGTAAAGATAGCGTCTTTTCACGCATGTTGTTCTTGAGTTACCTCCCAATTCCATCTAATTTGAGAGAGGCACGTAAATGACTCTTTTTCCACTTTGATGCAAGGGAGTAAATCACAGAAACCCTAGACAGAGTGGTCCGGCACACTGTTAAAAAATAGTGGTACAGAAACAATCAGATGAGTGAAAATTTAGTCGTTCCAAAACATAGAATTTCATCATGAACCAAAGCGAAACAAATGTCGTTGAGTCTAGTAAACGACATTTTGTCGTTGCAGAACAAAATTCTTGTTATCACTCTTTACGATACAATTTGTGTGGAAACAACATCTTTTGCAATTATCCGCTCAATTAAAGCATATTATGAATAATCATCTATTTTGTTCTTCTAAGTCATAGGGCAATTACTATTGTTAAAAAAACCATGCAAAATAAATTTAGCGACAAAAGTACTCTAAGAATATTGTCACAGACATTAAAAAGTTTCTTTTTGACTTTCAATACTTGTCGTTGATGTGTTATTGTTGGTGTGTTATTACAAGTTAGTCGTTGTGAAATTATCCCTTGGTTCCAATACGACAACGGTTTAACAAGCTATTCGTTCCGCAACAAATCTTGTCGCTAAAAAAGTTAGCGATAAATGTGTCGCTAAGTTAGGACAAAATTTTTATCAGTGCACTTTGGAAAATTATCAGAATTTTTAGTCATGTTTTAATCATCTGCAACATTGGCTCATTCAGCTTTAGTTTGTTCTGAAAACAGTTTTTTGTTTCTCCTGAATGATTAAAATTGAGTTACCTCCTTCCGCTTCATGAAACAATCAAAGAAATTATTATCTGAACAACGATGAACTAATTTACAACGATGTCATCAGCAGTATTGTAAATATTAATGGAAAATTAGCCTTGAAATTGGCATGAAGTGAGGTCGTACTGTACTCACATCGGTCATGGCGGCAGGCTTGGCCACAGAGCGGGGTGATGTTGACGGGCAGGGCAGCGCAGAAAGTCTCGGCCGGCGTCGATATGTTCGAGAAGTCGAGGTGGTTGACAATCACGGCGAGGGAGCCACGTAGTCCTAAAACGATACGCACAGAAGTTCGTCACATCACAATGGATCGGAGGTGCGCTGGTGAGGCGAGGTTTGCCATGACTTCTAGCAGAGACAGAAGTAAATAGCAGGAAGAACATGGACCGGAAACAGTTTAAGAAATCGACCTTATCCGGTGTTGGGCATGTTGAAATCACATTAAATTCAACATAAAGGTTCCTCGTGGTTGCGATTAAAAAAAAAACACACAGATCATCAAAATTTTGGCGGCATTTGGCAACTGTTTCCGGTGCGTGATTTTCCCCTTCTCTTCCGCGCTTCGTCGTTTAACAACCAATGAAGCGGTGATATAAGCAAACAAATGAAAAAAGCGTCGTTTAACATTACTTGCCAGCTAGATTCGAACGATCACGCTCCCAAAAACATGGAGATAAACACTAGACGTTCAATAGGGTACCCTAATGAATCTTCAAACGGAAGCAGAGGAAGTAAAGAAAGCCCAAAATCAGCCTTTAAACAGCTTCTATGCGCAGACGTTTCCCCGCCACCCAGTGCCCATGCAAGACATGTTGAAACGTAACGATCTCATTACTCTGATTAGGATGCGAAGACAGAAGTTACCGCGGGTCTTTAAATAACACGGTGGGACATCGCAGAAACACGTCTTGGCGTAACAAAGGCTTCGCGATCTGCAGTTGCCGCCCCCCAGGCTGACTCTGGATCCGTCACTGCCTGCCAGCCCTGCTGCTGACCTGGCACTGGCCGCCCGGCCGGGCCGCGGAATGCGCGGGTCGGGTGGAACGGAACGGAGCGGAAACTGAGTCAGTCGGCCCTTGGCGTCGGTCTGGGGTAGCCACAGCACGGGCGTCCTCGCGCCGCGACTTGAACGTAAGTCAGTCCGTCCTGGTCGCGGGGAATGGGCGCTACGAAGTGCCCGGGGTCGGTTGAAGAGCGTGAGTTTGTATGACCGGCACCTCTCGGCGCAGTCGCAGCTTTGTCGTCTTCGGATCACACAGTAGGTCAGAGACCGATGGAGGCGGCCAGAATTCTCGACGCAGTTTGAACTCCACACTCTTAAAAGCCTACGAAGCATTTGCTTCATAGCTACGAAGGAAATGAAGGCGTTGTGGAATTGCTTCGTACCACGAAGGATTTTGCTTCATAATACGAAGCATTTCTTCGTAGATTTTACAATGCCTTAGTTTTCTTCGTACACTGGTGAAACAAAGGCATTAAAATTATGCCCTTAAAGGGCGTAAACGATTAAAGGGCATAAATCGTTTATGCCTTTGGGAAGGGCATTCAAATTTTGCTTGTAATTCCTATACCATTTACGCCCTTCCCAAGGGCGTAAAACGATTTATGCCCTTGCAAGGGCATAAAAACGTATTTATGCCCTAAAGGGCGTAATTTTTATGCCTTCGTTTTACCAGTGTATTACGAAGCGATTCTTTGTAGTGTTTTTACTGAGCAGAGTCGCTTAACAGGACTCAAACCGAAAGTGGGTCCCCATTATTGGATTCCTCGTTCGGAAAGCAATCCATTGGTGGGGTCACACGTCCGATTCAAGTCCCATTTAGCGCCTTTTTTTGGTGCGGATTCATTGCACCTGCTTAGTAGCATGAGAAATCAATGGTTATCGATCGTTGAAAGTGTTCTGTCCTTTGCAGACTTGATTGCCGCAAGAAGTACAGCTGAGGATCTCGTCGCCCGCCTGAAGGATACGCTGAGGACGCTGGTGAACACTCTCAAAGAGGTGTCATCGACTACGTACATGCGGTAGGGTCGATTGGGACGGTTGCGGACATCGAGGGAAAATCGTGAATAAGCGAGGAAAGTATTGGCTGGCACGTCGCTGACGCAACTCTTCTGTGGTGTTCACTATTTAATTGCATGATCGTGTTTGCGTGGCTTAGGCGTCCGCTCTGACGGTGTTTCGCGAGACTTTACAACGAAGTGCTTCATTTCTAAATGCCCAACCTGTAACTAAAGCAGGGGCCGAAGTGACAGAAACGACGAGGCAGAAGTGGCTACCTACGTGTGCAACCGATTATCCGTTAACGTCTCCGTTGCGTTTTCTTGTGGAGGCCGTCAGCTACGTTGCGTCCCACGGTGTTACGTAGTTTTGGACTGAACATTTTTTGGTCGCGTCGCCACCGTTACCCGTCATCAACGAAATGGACACAGATGGACGGACTCGCCTTAGTCCGTATGCAAACCACGGACTTAGACGAAACGTCAACACGGTACGGGAAAACTCGGATGCATCGTAAAATGATGACCAATAAATCTAGGAAGGCCCGTGGAGTGGTACAAGTCTGCGGGTTCGATTGAAGCAGGAAGGGACCTTTAAAGATGAAGAAACAATCGTGTATCGAGTTGAAGATACTGATTCACTCTTGAACCCACCGCAAAAGACCGAGGTTACGACTCAGCAAAGGATAGCTAGGCGCGGTGTTCTAAAAAGGTGTCATATTTTAAGATACATTGTGTAGGGTCGATTGTGACGGCTGGCTCAGGGGCGTGCATAAAAAAGTATGCTTGACGTCTTGACGACTCTTCGTGCTTCCCCCTATGAAATCGCAGCGTAACGTGCGTGCTAGGCCGTCCCCCGGTGGTTTCGGCGAATTTCAAAAGGCTTCATTCTAAATGTCAAACGTACGAGGAAACCACAATGACAGCTTTAAGTGAAGGCAGGTGGTACCTACGTGTCAACTTGCTTACATCACCTCCGTTGCTTTCCTTGGAACGCCGTCGAAGCTACCGCCCCCGTTTAGGTGCGTTTGCACTGAATTTTTTGGTCGCGTCACCACCGGAGCAGCTCCAGACAAAAAAAAACACTTGGCCGGGGACCCCCTCAGATCTGGCTCCCTCCCGGTTTTTTTGGTTCCTCTAGTGAATACGAATTGCCGAAACACAAATTGGGCCGGATCCAACACCGATTGGCTTTTTGGTAGAGGTCAAAAACCCCTAAAAATGGCTGTTTTTGAGGGTTTGGGGCTTTTTGGGATCCCGGAACCTGCTGGCCAAAAAATCTACCAAAGTGTCGTTTCCGAAAGATAAAAGTGCGCTCTTTCGAATGCCGTGTCGCGCGAGGCTCTACGAGGACGGGTTTAGACGCTACGGGCTCTCAAAGTTGCTCAATTTCACTATTTCTACTGAAGATTTGAGCGTATCAGGGCCGTTCGAAGCAGACCATCGGCGATTTCGCTCCTCTTTGGCTTAAATGGTGCCTACCCATAGGTAAACACCCCCACAAAATTTCAGCTATCTCAGGCAATTATTAGAGGATCTGTGAACAATTTAAGTTTTGGGTCATTTTACCACTGAAGTGAGGTGGTTTTGGGTCCAGAAAAAATATTTTTTTCAACTATCTCTATTTGATCAGCACCTCTTGAAACGTCTTTTTTACATGGTGCCTCAAAACATTTTTTCCGAGGACAAACCTGTCTAGAAGCTGTGGTTAAAACAAAACTAAGACAGGTTTGTCCTCGGAAAAAATGTTTTGAGGCACCATGTAAAAAAGACGTTTCAAGAGGTGCTGATCAAATAGAGATAGTTGAAAAAAATATTTTTTCTGGACCCAAAACCACCTCACTTCAGTGGTAAAATGACCCAAAACTTAAATTGTTCACAGATCCTCTAATAATTGCCTGAGATAGCTGAAATTTTGTGGGGGTGTTTACCTATGGGTAGGCACCATTTAAGCCAAAGAGGAGCGAAATCGCCGATGGTCTGCTTCGAACGGCCCTGATACGCTCAAATCTTCAGTAGAAATAGTGAAATTGAGCAACTTTGAGAGCCCGTAGCGTCTAAACCCGTCCTCGTAGAGCCTCGCGCGACACGGCATTCGAAAGAGCGCACTTTTATCTTTCGGAAACGACACTTTGGTAGATTTTTTGGCCAGCAGGTTCCGGGATCCCAAAAAGCCCCAAACCCTCAAAAACAGCCATTTTTAGGGGTTTTTGACCTCTACCAAAAAGCCAATCGGTGTTGGATCCGGCCCAATTTGTGTTTCGGCAATTCGTATTCACTAGAGGAACCAAAAAAACCGGGAGGGAGCCAGATCTGAGGGGGTCCCCGGCCAAGTGTTTTTTTTTGTCTGGAGCTGCTCCCGGTGTTAAGGGGCCGTCCATAAAATGCGTAACGCACCTAAAGTGGGGGGGGGTCAGCTTCCGTTACGGTGCGTTTCATGGGGGGGCGGACCGGCGGCGTGATGTAACGCAAATCGACCCATACACGCCTTCACTTAAAAGCGTGAAATTGTGGTTTCCTCGTACGTTTTGACAGTTTCAGCGTGCTTTTAACCTTTTAGCAATTCGTCACGTAACGCACCGGGGGAGGGGTCCACGGCAGCGTTACGCTGCGTTTCATAGGGGGGGGGGCGGGGGGTCAAAAATGGCCTCAAAAAGCGTTACGTATTTTATGGACGGCCCCTAAGCCAGTCCGTAAATATTGCTATAGCATTACAAAGTATATACTTTACAAGTATTACGTATTACGTATTTTAATTAAAAAAACGTTGCACGATAGTCTTTGCTTTTTGCTATTATTTGTAACCTCGGTCTTTTCACCGTCGTGTGGGTTCGCGAGTGTCATCAGTATCTTCCGTTTAATACACGCGTGTTCGTGACTTCCATCTTTAAATTTCCCTTCCCTGCTCTAAAATCTAAGGTGATGACTTGTATGAATGTCGCGCGTGTCCTAGTTCATTGTTTCATCATGCATTTTACGATGACGCATCCGAGTTATCCCGTACCGTGTTGACGTTTCGTCTAAGTCCGTGGTTTGCATACGGACTAAGGCGAGTCCGTCCATCTGTGTCCATTTCGTTGATGACATGATGTACTGATGCACTCCGTCATTTGACCACCGGCAGTGAAGAACTTGCGTTCAACCTACCTGTAGTTATATGGTAACTGCGCTTACCATACGCAGTAAACTCAGGCGCTCTTGTTAGGAAAGTAGTCTTTAAAGTCAGGCAGCAGTGTTCTTTAAAGTAGTTGCACTGGAACGCGAACCTTTACCCGTTTTTACCCGTTGCCGGGACGAAACAGCTTCGTTTCGTCACTTAAGCGTTCCTCCCCTCACTCGGTTCCCTTAGGTTCTGTGGCAGCCAGTCTACTGGCTCCCGTTCTACGTCTCCAGGAGCTAATACCGCGCTGTCTCACATTCATTTGAATCCTTCAGAACCCGGATGAACCACTTGTATTAAGTATTAAGCCTCTGGAAGTGGTTCTGTTTTGCACTGAAAACGTAAATGTGCACCATTTACTCACTTTCCTGCTCAAAGTGTCTACTCGAGCACACCTCAGGTGCACTCACACAGTAAAAACTCTACGAAGAATCGCTTCGTAATACGAAGAAAACGAAGGCATTGTAAAATCTATGAAGAAATGCTTCGTATTATGAAGCAAAATCCTTTGTAATACGAAGCGTTTCTTCATAATACGAAGCTATTCTGCAACGCCTTCATTTTCTTCGTAGTTATGAAGCAAATGCTTCGTAGGCTTTTAAGAGTAGAGGGGACGAAAGTATGTACTCTTTTCTCCTTTTCCAACCAGCGGAATGGCCTATTGCTTCGTATTACGAGGCAAAATCCTTCGCTATATGTAGCATTTATTCGTAATTCGAAGCAATTCTACTATACCTTTATTTCCTTCGCAGTTACGAAGCAAAAGCTTTGTTTGTTGACCTTTTCGAGTGGGGGCACACTTAGGACTCCAATGTGTTCCAAGAAATGTGGTGTCTGCTTTTGCGATGTGTAAACATCAAATATCTTCGAACAGTTAAGAACTTGGCTCGAACTGGTTTTGCCCGTCCAAACCTGAACATACAGTGGTTTACGAGCTTAGGCAATTTCTTTTTCATGCGTCTGGTTAGGACACTACTGTAAACTCAACACATGATCGGAATCCATCAAGAACTTGGCTCGAACTGGTTTTGCCCGTCCAAACCTAAACATACAGTGGTTTACGAGCTTAGGCAATTTCTTTTTATGCGTCTGGTTAGGACACTACTGTAAACTCAACACATGATCGGAATCCATCAAGAACTTGGCTCGAACTGGTTTTGCCCGTCCAAACCTAAACTTACAGTGGTTTACGAGCTTAGGCAATTTCTTTTTTATGCGTCTGGTTAGGACACTATTGTAAACTCAACACATGATCGGAATCCATCAAGAACTTGGCTCGAACTGGTTTTGCCCGTCCAAACCTAAACTTACAGTGGTTTACGAGCTTAGGCAATTTCTTTTTTATGCGTCTGGTTAGGACACTACTGTAAACTCAACACATGATCGGAATCCATTCTAGACAGGTTCTTAATTTTTCGAAGCACTTGCTATGGAGTTAATGTGCTTTTTTCATTCTATCAGGATCCAGATATATAATTCGAAGTGAGAGGAGAAGACTTCCATGATGGCTGACGAGGATGGCAAGCCCGTGGTTACATTCGGTAAGAGGCATGCATTTAAGTAGTTGGTGTTGAAAAGGTGAAAATGGTATTTTTGCCTCTATCATGCCGATACACTCAAAATTTCTTTAAGTTAATTTGGCTGTAGTGTACTAAGAAATCCGTCCAATACGAATCTTTTTTGGCTTTTCTTTGTAAGTTAGAAAGAAAATGCTTCACATAATGAAGGAAAAGTGGCTCTTTGATATGTTTGCACAAAATTCTTATGTTTTTCAAATGGTCTGCCTCAAGAACAGGGATGATTTCTCACAATAAGGCATCATGTATACATTAAGCTTCGTAACTTACGAATTACCTATTACTTCAGAATTACAAAGTAAATGTTTTGTACCTTCCATAATGCACGGTAAAAACGAAACCTGGTTTTCCCAGGAAGCCAATGGCAAAGGCATAGGCGGTTCCCAGGGGTTTCCTGGGAAAACCAGGAACCGTGTTTACCGTGTGCTCAAAATACTTCGTAGGGTTGTGAGCTCCTCTCGTGTGCAAGTCGGAATGATTGTGCAAAGTCTACTCTCCGTGTGCCACAGGCCCGAAGAGCGGCGAGTGCGCGGTGTGCGGCAAAGATGGTCCCATGAAGTGCGGCCGCTGCCAGGTGGATTTCTACTGCGGAAGGCAGCACCAGGTGCAACACTGGCCTCAGCACCGCAAGGTATTTCTCGCCGCACCGAATCTGCAAAGGTCTCTCTCTCTCTCTCTCTCTCTCTCTCTCTCTCTCTCTCTCTCTCTCTCTCTCTCTCTCTCTCTCTCTCTCTCTCGATTCTCTTCAAATTGAATTCCTCATTCCTTTATTTGCACTGCCATGTCTCAGGGCTGCGGCAGCTTCGAACTGCGCGAGAGTTCCAAGCTTGGCCGCTACGTCGTGGCCACCAAGGACATTCCTGCAGGCGCCATCCTCATGAGGGAAATCCCGCTGGTGGTGACCCCGACCTACGGACCAAGTGAAGATCGGGTAAGTCCGCACGGCTCGGCTAAGACCCGTTTAAGGCAGTAATAGCACAACATAAAAGTGAACTTAAAGTCATGAAACTTTCAGAGAAATATGCATTGAACCCGTCGAGGAAGGGACAGTCACCGTCGAAAATATTAAGCAATAAGTAATTGAAATTAGCATTGGCCTTATGAGGTTGAGGTTATGTCGCCCATCGGTGCGCCCCGTATTTTGAAATATTTTTTACTTGAAGTGAAGTTCAATCTTCAAGTTTTTTGTTCAAAGGTGCATTAGTACACACTGTATCTGCTTACTCAAAGAAAACGGGTCGTTTCCGTCCTCGTTTCGAGCATACACTCTCATTCCAGGAACGTGACATAACGTTGAAACGAACGTGACAAAATGTCACGTTCGTTTGAGCATTGTGTCCCATTCGTTTGGATGTGAATTGGCCAAAATTTAGCTTGTTCACATTCAAACGAACGTGACACAATGCTCAAGCGAACGCGACATTTTATCACGTACGTTTCAACGTGATGTCACGTTCCGGGAATGAGAGTGTGCGCAAATAAATATAGTTTGTTGTGCGAAAAGAAAATTAACTGTAGATATTTTGGCAAATGCCGTTTGTGGAGAAAATCTTCACCAAAATATGGTGGTGAAGACTCTCACCGTAAGACATTTAGAATGTGAGGCTACTTTACTTCGCAAGGCTTCAACAGTTTGTAGGTTTTTACAGTGCGCCGTACCACTCCAGGGTAAGGTCATATGGAAGCAGCGGAGGACCGCCTACCTGCCTGCCAGCCTGCCTGCCGGCTTGCCCGGTCTCCCAGCATGCATCTCGGTTGCGCAGACCTATCTTCCATATGACCTTACTCCAGGGTGGGTATACAGATGTAAACATCTATGTCCGAAGACAGAAAACGGAATTTCGTCTCTCTTTTTCATCTTTTCTCCTCGTTCAGAGAGAAGCCACGTGCATGTATCGCACACTTCAAAAATACAATGTGAATTGTTTGACACGAACACGGTAACATCGTCACTTCATTCGTTTGGGGAAGTTATGAAGCTAATTTCCAACTCGAAGTAAATGGTAGCGTAAGACCACCAACGGAGGTTTTCTTCGTGTTGCGAAAAATGTCTCATATTGTGGATAAATTTTTCTACCACGCGTATTTGCGCCGAATCTCTGAAACATAGCTCGAATATTCGAGCTATGTTTCAGAGATTCGGCGTAAATACGCGTGGTAGAAAAATTTATCCACAATATGAGACAATTTTCAGATAGTTATCATTGGAAGGCATTAATTTTGTTGGCACTGAATGAACTTTTCCTTCATGAGTGGTCACGCAACGTTCGTAATTGGCAACATCTTATGAATTCTAGAGCACAGTCTGGAAGATTTGTCCTCTATTTGTGTACACTCAGCACGTTACTGACTTTTTCCTCATTAATTATACGTATTCGTATAAACAGCGAAAATTATAAGAAAGTATGACCAATTTCCTTTGTAAAATTGTGTACTTAACAAAATTCTCAGTACATTATTAAATGTTTCCTAAGTAGTTCTTTAAAAAAGGAAAAGTATGTATTATGGTTGCACAAATTATTTCCATAAGTACTGACAAAATGAGCAGTAAGTCAATAACGTGCTGAGAGTGTAATAAACTGTGCATAGCTTACACATGGACACATGGTTTGTCGACCATGAAAGAACTCCAATCTTTTTCTGTATAACTCAGAAACTTAAGAAGTTGTGAGTAAATCCGTCCTCCCTACCAAGCAGCAGTTTTTCTGATGTCGCGTCTTTTTTGCCGCAGCCCGTGTGCGTGGGCTGCCTGGTGGAGCCGAGCGTGGCGCGGCAGTGCCCCAAGTGCGGCTGGCCGGTGTGCGGCGATGCGTGCAGCGTGAGGGAAGTCCACCAACCAGAGTGCGCCGCCTTCCAGCGCGCCAAGTACAAGCTGCCCAAAGGTCAGTTGAAGGGCAGCACTGTGCCAAAAACCCACAGTGAATCCCGTATAGTATCCTGTACAAAGTACAGTAATCCTGTACTCTGAACTACAGTTAGAGCTGTACTAATCACTACTCTACACTGTTAAAAATTGTTGTTTTAAAACAACAACACAATTACCAACCTCGACAACGCTGTTGTTTGTGAACAAGTTTGCTTGTTTTAAAACGACGAATTCGTTGCTAATTATTTTTATGACTTCACTGGTGAAAGAAAGGCATTAAAATTATGCCCTTAAAGGGCGTAAACGATTTACGCCCTTAAAGGGCATAAATCGTTAATGCCTTTGGGAAAGGCATTAAAATTTTGCTTGAAATTCCTATACCATTTACGCCCTTCCCAAGGGCATAAACGATTTATGCCCTTGCAAGGGCGTAAAAGAGTATTTATGCCCTTAAGGGCGTAATTTTTATGCCTTTGTTTTACCAGTGTTATGCTGTTTCAAAACAATATTTTGCTGCGTACAAACAACCCGGACAATCTAAGAAGTGGTTACTGCGGGGTAACCGGGACTCTACTAGGTCTGTGACCTAATCGGCAATAAAAATTGATGCAAATAAGGCTGTCTACCGGTTTACAAACATGTTGTGGACGAACGACGCAACTCATTAGTAAACAACGAAAGTCATTTGAAAACAACTTTGATCGCTAAGAAAATTAGCAACATATTTACTGCTAAATTACAACATCATTTTTTACAGTGTACGAACTGAAGTGTGTGCTCAGTACGCATCTACAGATGCATACTTAATTACACTTCTACAGATGCATACTTAGCTGAGTACACATCTACAGATGCATACTTGGCTGAGTACACATCTACAGGCATACTTGACAGGACAGGTATGCATCTGTAGACGTGTACTTGATATTGGGCATTTGTACGGTGACAAGTACACACCTACTAATGCATACTTGCCAAGTATGCATCTGTAGATGTGTACTCAGCTCGGATGCATCAGTACACACTTAAGTTTGTAGAGTACAGGATTTACTGTGATTTTTTTTCCACAGTGAGGGAGGGAGGGATGTCATTGAATGCATCAGTATCTGCAATCTCACTGAGAATGAAGAAAGTCATAATCATGACGAAAGTTTTGGGTGAGGACTTGTTTATCTCCCAAATTTGAGTGAGGTAGGTTTCCTTGCCCAAATTTGGGTCATAATACTATGTAACCATATACACTCTAAGTGTTTTCGTACAAATCACGAGACATACATCTTTTTGTACACATTTGTACGCGGTTTCGTACTTAAACGGGGAAATATGTGCAGGTTTTCGTACAAAAATTGTACGAAAAACTCGTGTGCACTAGAAACTGTGATGTCTTGTACAAAATTGTACGTAACATCGTCGCCGTCCCCCCCCCCTCTCCCTCCGAACCCGTCCCTGGATCCGCCCTTGAGTATACCTCGCCCAATATTGGGTATGGATCAAGACTTTTTCATTCTCAGTGAAATTTTCTGCCTCACGATGAAAACAGGACCATTGACCTGGCTCCATCACACGGTGAGTCACGGTTCCAAGTCTCAAGGGGTCTGTGATCTGCAGCCTGATTCCGAGAGTCGCTTTCGTCGCTCTGCCTCTCTGGCACTCTTCGCCTGTCCGTGTGAAGAAGACAGAGCGATGAAAATGACTTTCGGAATCAGTCTGCTGCCTCCAAGAGCTTTCGGACGTTACGGCAGATTCTGCTCCTTGGTAAAACATAAAAGAGAATGATAAGTCCAAAGCGTAGTGTAACCCTCTGCTTTCAAGGGGATAATCAGTTTTCACTTGAAATCAAGCGTGACAGGCCAAGATTCATTCCCTCCATCTAAATACATGGGAATATTTCTAGTCTATGCTTCATTTCAAGCCTAACGTCAGAACCTGTCCTTGTTCCCCGCAGCCGAGCTTGAGCCATGGAACCCAGACCTCTGGAAGTTCCTGGGCGCTCTCAGGGTGACCCTTGCTTGTGAAAACCAGGCGCGCGGGGGCTTGTTGCGGAATCTCCAGTCGGACCACTCGCCGCTAGAGAACTTTCTTGAAAGTGCGGACCAAGTAAGTATTACAACTGTACCTTTTTTGTAAGCCTTGCGATTGACCAGCGAGGTGAATGTCTGTTAGCATGCAGAAGTCTCGTACGTTGAATCATTATTTACAACATCACGATCTGGCGTCTGTTGTGTGATGTTCCCTCTCATTCCAGCAACGTGACATCACGTTGAAACGAATGTGACAAAATGTCACGTTCATTTAAGCATTGTGTCACATTCGTTTGAATGTGAACAAGCTACTTTTTGGCCGATTCACATCCAAACGAATGTGACACAACGCTCAAACGAACGTGACATTTTGTCACGTTCGTTTCAACGTGATGTCACGTTCTTGGAATGAGAGTGTTGGTACACTGAAAACTTAAGTGCGTACTGAGTACACACAAAGAACCTAAGTGTGTACTCAGTACACACAGAGAACCTAAGTGTGTACTGAGTACACACAGAGAACCTAAGTGTGTACTGAGTACAAACATAGAAGACCTAGGTGTCTACTTAGTACAGACTTAGTATTTCAGTGAGGGCAGGCGCTTGTTGGCCGCAGGAGATGAGATGCCCTTTAAGGGGCTTGGGAGTCGATATCTCAACAGTACCAACCTAACAGAATGCTTGAATGTCAACAGCTATCGTCACAAATCGCTAACAGTCCCCTCTTGATTTTAAAAAGGAAGCATTTGAAAATTTGACCCCGACCATCCCATCCCTATCTCAACCAGTTCTAGAACAAGCTTGTTCGCTTGTTTGGCCGCGTCCTTTTAGTCAAGTCAGTGTGGTGTTGGATAGAATTAGAGTCAATCAGTATAAAATTAATCTCCGCATTTGAAGGCACCGCTGTCCTTTGCAAAACGGTTGACGAAGGAATATTCGTAAATTCGTAGGTTCTCCGTACATTCTCGAAGATCCTCGAAGATTCTTCTTAAATTCACGAAAGAACCCTGAGTAATATTGATTCAATCTTTCGCTGTTCTTCAAAAGACAGCGGTGCCTTCAAAAATTGCGCAATTTGGTTCAATCAATTCTGTAAATTGCCATATTTTACCTTGTTTTAAATTACTGCCTGCTTCTGTTCCTAGATGAGGATCTCTGCCATCCTGATGGTGCACTACAGGACATTCAAGAAGGACTGCGATGCCGCGGTCAGTTGGATTCGGGACGTGGCTGGACTCAAGTGGCTGACCGCTGAAGCCGTTCGCCGTGGGGCCGGAATCTGCTTCATCAACTCGAACAGCTGCAGTGCAGGCTTGGGCCGGAAGGTGAGGTGCACTGCAAGAACTGATCAATAGGATGCATCACTTTACGCGACGTTCAGGTGAATCGTTTCGAAACATTAAGGACGTGTTTTGCTTATGAAGTGTGCGTGTGTGTTATTTCTCTTCAGAGAATTTTGTTTGTTTAAATTGTTTTAAAACCTTGTATCAACAATATCATCGTTCCAAACTTACAAAATAACGATTTGACGTAAATGGCCTCATTCTGATTTGACAAGAAGCCATGCGTCAAAATTGACGTGCGAGAAAAGTCTCGTCTCAAAACAGGCATGACATAGTGAGCCGCGTTCTCATCTCATTTTGAATTACTCTTCAAAGGGTGTGTACAAGGCGTCCGAATTGTTTGGTAAAAGTCTAGTCTTACAAAGATTTTTATCAAGCTGTTTGAGCTGATTGTTTGCCTGGCATTTTATTCCTGCTCTTGAAAGGCCGATAAGTTACTCTGATACCCCATCAGTGGTTTTTTTCGTTTCAGTCCCGCTTCAGAGCGGGGTGTATGCGTGTGTGTGTGGGGGGGGGGGCTGTTTACGCACTAAACCTGTGTCCCGACTGTTAAGATATTGGGATTTTGTTTCACAGGAGACGGCGGTCTTCGCCGGCATGTCGCTGCTGGAGCACTCGTGCCGCCCCAACACGGACGTGCTCGTCTGGCAGCGTGAGGACGGCCCGGCGCCGGCCGCCGGCAGCACGGAGTACGTCTTGGTGGCGTCGAGGAACATCGCGCGCGGCGAGCACCTCACACTCGCCTACCTGCACAACTTCCTGCTGGGCTCAGTCAAGCGGCGCGCCCAGACGCTGGCCTGGAACTTCCTGTGCCAGTGCGAGCTTTGCCGCGACCCCAGTCAGCGGGGGCTGCACCTGGAGGCCTGGTGCTGTGCAGCGTGCAGCGGTGAGTAGTTACCGACACTGAGAGTGTCGTAATCAGGACAAAAGACAAAAATGGGTGCGGTATTTTTTTTTTTTTGTGCCCAAATTTGGGTAGGGATTATTTTATTCGTCATAATACTTCTCATAGGCAGCTAATACGCACCCGTATCTAGGCGAGGAAACCCTCTCGCCTAGCCGAGCTGTGGGTGATAGAAAAATCCGCACCCAAACTTGAGTGGCAGTGCACCTCGCCCAAAATTAGGTATTAATCTAGACTCTTCCATTCTCACTCAGGGGTCTTAAACACGCTGATTGGGAAAGAAATATTATGGAAAAAGATAAACTGGGAATTTGTTTTTGGGAGAAAGGGGTGGCACGTCCGAATGCATGCCTCGTTTAACTTCTCACGATTCTGGTTGTAATGTATGCAATGTTCGCTGTCTCTCCCCAACTCTTAAGGTCGTGAAATTTGACTCGTTAAGTTGAAAACTCTGAAATTGCGCTTGCCTTTAAAATGAAGAAAATCGGACAGCAGTATCTTTTATTGTCTGCGTTCTGTTTCAGGCAAGAAGAAAAAGGCCTTCCCAGTGACGATCCATGACATGCAGAACAGTTGGTCCTGCAGCGGCTGCGGGGAAACGGGTTCGCTCGATGCCACCGGAGGAGGCGCCCAAGGGGCCCAAGCTCAGGCCAAAAGACTGGAGAAACGGCTGGAGAACTACGTCGGTAGCACGGCAAAGGTTCGGACCGACTTCCGGCACTGCAAGAAAAAAACCACAACAAAAGTACAAAGTACACAAATTTCTGGCAAATTTTTTATCACGAATTTATTGTACTGTCAAAGTACAGTAATTGTTGTACAAAGTACAATGGATCCGGCTTAGAGATTGCTGTGCAGTCCAGGGCTTCGTTGTGGTTTGTACAATTCTCGTTGTACTTTCTACAATCCCTGTTGGACTTTTGTTGTACAGTTTTTGTTGTACATTTGTTGTACTGTTCACACTTTTTCTTGCAGTGGGGGATGCATTTACCTGTTCGTTTAATGCCTTTCTTGAGGGACTCACTAAATGTGTTGGACAATTTTTGAATCTGATCTCTCACAATTTTAAACATGCACTTGTGCGACATTGAGCACAAGGTTGAACGAAAACAACGCATGCGCAACATTGTGTGAGACCGCACTAAATTAGTAGAGTCGTAAAAGTTTAGATTGAAATTTGTTGGTCCAACAACCTCAGACGGATGCTGCGCTCCAGCTCAGGCAAGGTGCCCTGCTCAGCACTCTTAAAACCTTGCGAACTCTGTAGGCAAGCTCGTGAAAAATAAGGTTTGTTCGCAATGCGGAAAGCACATCGGTAACAGAAACTAATAATCCGAGTGGATTTTCGCTCGTGACATCGGATATTTTATACATCCTGGTTTTGCTTTTCAGGGACATACGGGTTTCTCTTTTGACCACGACTGAGAATCTGAAGGGTTATTTGTTGGAACAGTCTGCACTCTCAGACTCGTATTGACTTTTTTCTCACCATTATTGACTTTTTGTCCTTTGCTTTCGTAGTTTTTTAAACAGCAATAATATGTAGTATTTTCTTTGTAACCATGTACAATATTGTTCAGCATAAAGACAATTGCGTATGACTCTCTGTCAATAGTAAATTGACTTCAAGCCAATATCACGAATGAAATCTTACATAGATGCTGAGGAAATAGTGCTCTTTATTGCTGTGTAAAATACTCTTTAACAATGGACAAAAAGTCAATAACAGTCTGAGAGTGTGCACTGAAGTCGAAAGTGTGGTGAAATTACCACAGTTGGCTGTGGTGAGACCAAAAGTGTGGTTACCGCATTCTACCACACGTACAAATGTGGTAAGAAGTACACCCCGTCAAATAAGTGGTGTACAAGCCTATAATTTAGCTGTTACCTCATGTATTGCGTGGTCAAGACCACCCCTTTATGAGGTACGGAGGACTGACCTTGCTGTGGTATTTACCATGAAATTACATGTGGTGCTTTGTTGACCACTGATTTTTAAGGGTATTGACCGCATTTCCACGTGTGGTGAATTTGGGCAACCACAGTTTTGCGCCTACCACACATTATCTGTAGGCTGTACCACTCTTCGAAGGACAGTGTGAGACATCCGCTTTCTCAGTGGTTTTTGACTCTGGATGCTTTACTCTGACAGGTGCCGCTGAAGGTGTGGGAGCAGTTCATCCACGACGCCCTGTGGCCCCGCGGGCCCCTGCACCCCACCCACAGCCTGGTGCTGCAGGCCAAGAAGGCCATCGTCGAACTGGACGGGGTGCTCGTCCTCAAGGCGACCTTGACTCCTGGTTTGCACTGCACTATAAACCACCGTAAAAGTTCACGATTATGCACATTCGTGCTTTTCAGCTTAATGTTAGGGCTTGAAAACAATTCGTACTCTCTGCCCACGCCCCGTGCCAAACGTCACGCAGGTTTAAAATCGTGCGTCACGACGTACAAAATCCTACCTAAACGTGTCTAGCTATCGGTCATAACAGCGTATCTACTATGGGATTCCCCATGAACATACGTTGTTATGTCAGATGATCACTCACATTCAGTGTGTGTAACACTTTGTAGTTGCCGGCCTGAAGGAAGCAGAGGCGGATCCAGAGGCGGCTTGGTGGGGGGGGGGGGGGCAAAAACCCCATCCCAACGAAGTGCCGCGGTGGTTGGTTGACCAGACTTGGCGTTGCAGCCGAGTCGCGGCGTGTGGCCGCCTACTGCCGGGATCTGCTGGCCGTGAGCGACGCGGTCTGCCCGGGGGTCAACTGGTTCCGCCAGCAACTCCTGCTCGTCCACGCCGGCGTCGTGGAGGGGCTGGTGGAGGCGCAGATGGAGAGCATGCGCACGATGCGCCCCCCGCGTGCCCTGGAGGTATGCATTCCTTTTTTCTTCTCCTTCTTCTTCTTCTTCTTCTTCTTGCTCTTCTTCTTCTTGTTCTTCTTCACTCTAAATGTCTTCCAATGAAATTTGACCTATGTTATTTGTATGTTACAGTGAATTCGGCGCAAGCATAATACGAAGCAATATTCCTTCGTAATACGAATCTTTTTAGCTTTTTCATTGTAAGATACAAAGAAAAACCTTCGTAATAGGAAGAAAAACCACCTTCGTATTACTCTTGCGCCATTTTCTTCGTATTATGGGAAATTTCTCCGTAAGACATTTAGAGTGTTGTTGTTGTTCTTCTTCTTGTTGTTGTTCTTCTTGTTCTTCTTCTTGTTGTTGTTCTTCTTGTTCTTCTTCTTCCTTTCTTGCCTTCATGCCTTCCTTTTTCTTCTTCCTTCACAACAGCGCAAGAAGAAGAGTGTAATAATGAACTAATTTGAACAGCAGTAACATTTTTATTGCATTAGTAGTGCCATGATGAAGTTAGTGCATTGTAGGTGCGTTAAATTTTGTATTGCATTAGCGCATTTATCACTCTGTTAGCGTAGTTATCATTTTATCACTCCAAAACGGTGATTATCCGGGTCCAGACCGGCCAAAACATAAGAGACTTGTTGCATTTTTAATGCGATAATTTTTTATTGCTGCCACAAATGAGATCATTTGAAGGAATCACATTAGCCTTTTTTATCGCAGCAAATTGTATGAAACTTATCACATTAGAACTATCAGTGTAACTGCGCTCCCAAATGTGCGTTAATACGCTTTTTTTTTCGTGCACTTTGAAGCGAATGCACAGCTTTGTGAAAAGATCATACTCAAAATACTGCATAGTAATTTAGTGTGTTAATGAGAGAAGTGCCTTGGTCTTCAATTATTACAGAGCGTATCACTAAATTTGTCACGCATTCTATATTTGGCAGAAACTTCTAGACGAGATGGAGGAGATTCACACCGAGCTCACGCGAATCGCCGTCAGTCCCAAACACAAGAAAACGTCGCTGGGGAACTTGGAAGAGATCGCCGCAACCCGGAACGCTTTTTCGGTTTTTAAGTAGTGATTGTGTATGACAGAGAGTGTCTTTTGACCGCGTGGAGGAAAGACTCGTACTTTAAAGAGCAAAACGTTGTTGTAAAATCTTCTTTCCCTGGGTATTTCTGGAAGATTGTGAGAGCATAACGTTGTTGTAAAATCTTCTCTCCCTGGGTATTTCTGGAAGATTGTGACTCTCCACTTGTTAGTGAAGACTCTGTAAATGTGGAGAAGAAGGAAACTGTGTCTGTCTCAGTTAAATGGTAATTTCGGTTTCATCCAATTTAATTGTAAGGTTGTGGTTCAGAAATGGAATATTTAACTACGGTGTATGATTTATCTAATATTGGCAATTGGCATTTGTTTTTCTGCTTAGTGGTGTCTTAGCAACTGAGACCAATTTTACTCTTGTCGGTTTTCGGGAATTAAACAATTAAGCTTTATGCATATGGTTCGGGTTTGTCCAGGGCTAAATACTCACTGTTACCTGTGTTAAATAATCGTCAATGAAATGAAGAATATGGAAGGGTCTCTCTAGTTCTTCCTCCTTAACCTTGTGGCCAAAATTCATGCGACCGTACACAAAACTTGACTTTCCCATACATCGTTCATTCATCATAAACATGCACACTGTCCTTCGAAGTGTGGCTATCGGACTACAGATAATGTGTGCTAGGCGCAAAACTGTGGTTACCCAAATTTACCACACGTGGAAATGCGGTCAATACCCCGTAAAATGAGTGGTCAGCTTAGTACCGCCAGAAAATTCATGGCGAATACCACAGCAAATATGTGGTCAGCCCTCCATACCACATAAAAGGGTGGTCTTGACCACGCAATACACGAGGTAACGGTTAAGTTATAGGGCTGTGCACCACTTATTTAAAGGGGTGTAATTCTTACCACATTTGCACGTGGGGTAGAATGCGGTAACCACACTTTAGGTCTCACTACAGCCAAATAAGTTATTGGGCTATCTATTTTATTTCATACACAGTCATAAATAAGCCCGAACTGCGACCTCGAAGGAAACCAAACGAGTATTATCTGCTTTCATTAACGTTCGTTGAATGAGATTTTTAAACATTCATCCCCTGTCGCTGCTCACACTGGAGCCGGATGGGAAGGCCGTTCAAGAGCGGCCCCGCTGAACCACTTCTGGAACTTTTGGTTTGATTTGATGCGCCGTTTACCCTCCAGTTGTTTACATTTAATGTGATATGTAAAAGTAAGGGACGTTTCAAGGCTAGCAGTATTTTTATGCCACGGCAAAACATGGCACCCTAAAATTTTGGCGCAACGTTTAGTCACGCTGACTTGCACTGTAACCACTGTTCCCCAAACCGCAGAAAACGGAGTGACTCGCATCGTGTGGTTTTAAGGCGTTTGTTTGCGTCACTTAAGGGGAGGTTCTACTGAAAATATTGCATTTTTCAAATTGAGACCCAGTGTAAAAATTTGTTGCAGATGTATAATAATACATAGTTAATAGTCAAATATGAAATTTAGAGCCCAATACCTCCCTCCAAATCCAGTCGAAGAGGTTTTTTCAGCCTATTGTAGCAATATCTTAAAAAATTCTCCTACGCAAAGTATTTCAACGTAAACTGATGTTCTGGACATTTTTCACTTCTTTGGCTCATATGCAATAAAGCGTGGCATCACCAAGACATGGGACCCAACAAATTTATTTTGGCGTTGCTTTTCAGAAAAAAAGTCACTAAAATATCAGAAATTTTAACATTTTCTTGAAATTTTATTGACATGCTGTCTTAAAAACACAGCTTACGGTTTTGTAATGGTCCCAGTTTCTTACTAATGCCACGGTTTATCAATTATGAACCAAAGAAGTGAAAAATGCCCAGAACATCAGTTTACGTTGAAATACTTTGCGTAGGAGAATTTTTCAAGTTACGACTGGAAGTAGCAGAAAATTCCTCTTCGACTGGGTTGGGGGCTAGGTATTGCTCTCCAAACTTCAAATTTAACTATTTACTATGAAATACTTTAAATTTACAATGAATATTGATAATTGGACTCAATTTGAAGAAAGTAAGATTTTCAGTAGAACCTCCCCTTAAAGACGTGCAAATTGCTGTCAATGTTAAAGAGAAACGAATAAATAATTATCAATTGGGCTTCAAATTTGAAACAACTCTTTTATTTCTTATTTACAGTTAACATACTGATTCATTTAACGCCGCTAGAATTTATGCAACCGTCCGTACATTCGTGTCCGTCCATACAAATCATACCGATTTGCGAAAAAGAATAGAAAGGGTGGCAAAAACATTGAACAGTCACATCTTCGTTAATGATTGAGCTACGAAGCATCACCGCCTTAACGCTAACATTAAGATAGGAAATATTCAAACCGCAATTCATACAAAACACTAAGTATCAGCCAGCATCAACCATGCAAGCCTATGGCCGCCAACTAGGGCTGGCATGTACCACCTGTGTGTGATTTAAGAAGAGCTAAAACACCAGAAGCCAATGCGCTCCCCATTCCCTAATTCTAAAATGCGATCAGTTTTTATGTTGTAGTCTGGTTCAAATTTACGTCGCCAATAAACATATAAATAAATGCAGCGGAAAGCCGCTTTGCACATTTCTGTCGTTACGTCCAAGTCTTTCATCCACAAATGCAAGTTTTTTCGCTGATAAGGCAGGAACGTTTGACCATCACAAGCACTGTCATACACCCGGTGTAATTTAGGGGCCTGCTCAACGTTATTGTACAATAACAACTTTGTTCCTATGAAGAAATGGACTATATAATGCATAAAGAAAGACATATGGTGCCCGACAGCTTGGCCACCATGGTAGCAACTCATGACTTCTGAAAATTCCTCCTTTGTGTAACGATCAAGAGCTTTAATTTTTCCAAACTCCAACAAATAGATAAGATCATCGCAGTGACCCGCGCAGCATGATTCATAAAGCACAGGCAGATCTTCCGTATTTTCCTCCTTGCCTGGTTTGACTGTACTTGCAAACTCATCTACTAAGTCTGTAAAAGCCTTTTCAATTTTGGCCACAAGGGCAGGGCTTGATTGTCCAAAGAACTTTCCGTCTGAAAATACAGGTCTTTTCTTATCAGGATGTTTGTAAAAGACTTTTTCTGTTGTCGTTTCACAGTCCTTGTCCGAGCAAACGCTGCTGTGCAAGTATTCTCGCCGCTCTACGATGATCTGGACGCGCTTGTCTTTGACGTGGATTCGTCCGCAGGGTCCGGAGGGAAGAGTGACGCCACAGTCGCGACGCGGCGTGCAGTACTCCGTCAGCAGGAGCCACAGCTCGTTCCTCGACCTGGAAAGAAGACGCACTATTACTCTTGGGCCATGTTCCGTTGACCGTTTCAACAAGGGCGGGTTGTATCGTTACATTTTCTACATTCTTTTCGAGGTCTACTAGCTTTTTTTCGACGTTTTTGGCAGTTTAGACCGCTGTTTGAGCATGAAGGAATTAAGATAGATCAAAACGGACTGAATTTTCGCCGAAAGGCTCTTAAAATCACCGGATTGGAGTCAGAAAAGTGTTATTTGGGTAAAAATCAATAAAAATAACCCACCCCTGACCGCATAATTAGATCCTTGGGGCACGGCTTTGGGAAGTGGTACGACCTTGGGATTTGAATTTTAAAGTTTTTTCATCAGTTCGGTCACTTGGAGTCGGGGAACCCATTCAAAATGACATTTTTACACTGCAAATGCAAAGGCGATACTTAAGTACATTTTTTGGCGATACAATTGAGTATCGCCTACAAACGGCATTACGGAAAAGTATTGCCTTCAGTACGGTGATACACAGAAGTATCGCCAAAATTTGGCGATACTTTTGGGTATCGACAAAACCGCGGCATTAAACTAAGGACTTGTCCCCTTGGTTTGTTCAACGTTTAGTGCCAAATAGTGGCAATACTCCGAAGTATCGCCAAATTTTGGCGATACTTTTGTGTATCGCCGTTTTGAATGCAATACTTTTCCGTAAGGCGGTTTATTGGCGATACTCAATTGTATCGCCAAAAGGTACCAAAAGTATTGCCTTTGGATTTGCAGTGTTTAAAAAAAAGCGCAAGTCTAGCGGGTTGTACTGTTCCTGCCCTAACATGATTTACGCCGCCAGAACGGCGTGATTCGTGGGAAAGGCGTGCATTGGTAAAAGACACAAGGCATGGCACAAACTTAATGCCCTTCGAAAGCCATTAAACGATTCACGCTCTGCACACTAAATGTTATGTACAATTCTGTACGAGACATCACAGTTTTTAGGAAACACGAACTTCCTGTACGAATTTTGTACAAAAAACTGCGCATATCCCTGTGCAAAATCGCCTACAATAGTGTACGAAAATTTCGTGTTCACAAGAGGCAGTATGTCTCGTACAAAATTTGTACAAAAATATTTACTGTGTTCGTATGCCCTTACAGACGTCGTTGATATGCTTCTGTTTTGCCAGTGTGCAGACGGGCTGTAACCTGGAAAAACGCTGCCTACATTTTGACCCGATGGGGCAACCACTCGCGAAATCCTGTATACACTTGATTAGGCGAAATCATGCGTGGAATCGGTAGAAATGTTGTGAAATCCCTTCGAAATCTGGTGAAATCTAGCGAAATCCCATACACTAAATGTTGAGATCAATTTTGCACGAGACATGACAGTTTTTAGTGCGCACAAACTTTTCGTTCAATTTTTTTTTTTTAAGGAAAACTGTAAATTTCCTATTTTTTGTGCAAAACCGCGTACAAATATGTGCAGAACAGCCCCCAAACAAGGAAAATTCAGAGAATTTCGGCTATTACATTAAAATTACGACGTGACGTCGGCTACCAGTGATGCGTTTACTTCGCAAACCATTCTACCTTCACTCAATCTTATCTTTACTCTTGACGGGTTTTTGACATCGACAAGGGGTATTAGGTTAAAAAAGGCCTCTTATTAAACTCCTCAAAGTTAGGGGATCTTCGTAAAATTAACGACGCACGCATGTTCCATTTTTCCCGGGTACGCTACGCACCTGCCACCGCTGCTACCACTGCCACTTCCGCCTGAACTGCGCCCTCCAGTGCGTGGCTGGCCTCCCGGCATGCTGACACGTCTCTTGGAAGCTCCTGCACAGAAGAAGACAGAGATCGTCGATGAAGTCGGTAATAATCAAAAGATGTGCTGTGCAGTACCTTGGAAAATGGTCACCAGCACTTGATGAAGTAAAAACAAGCCAAAAGAGAAAAAAATCAAGTCCGCAGTGTGACTTGAAAATCACGAACTATTTACAAAAACTGCATTTATTCTGTTTAGAGCCGCACACCGTGGCACAATGGAAATTGCAACTATTCGTACACTCTCAGACTCGTATTGACTTTTTTCTCACCGTTATTAACTTTTTGTCCTTTGCTTACGTAGTTTTTTAAGCAGCAATAATATGTAGTATTTCCTTTGCATAACCATGTACAATATTGTTTACTATAAAGACTAAATTGTCATCAATTATTGACTATTTTTAAGTCAATTGCGTATTGACTCTTTGTCAATAGCAAATTGACTTTAAGTCAATATAACGAACGAAATCTTACATAGATATTGATGAAAACGTACTTTTTATCGCTGAGTAAAATACTCTTTAACAAAGGACAAAAAGTCAATAACAGGCTGAGAGTATAGACTAACTCGGACGCATCAGTACTGATCAGCACTATTTAAAACTGGCCCTATTTTTTGGCCAGACAAATATATCTCGCCTTTAAAGGGCCAGGCGTCTCACCTTTAGATTTTCAGTGAACTACGACCTTGCGTTCGTTAGTTCGAGAGATCGTTGAAAAATTGCTATTTCATTTGTAAAACTATTACGAATTTAAGTGGCCGTTTCGCAGTTTTGGACACTCTTTGACCCACCAGCGAGGGCGTAAACACTGACTTCAAGAAATTGTGCTCAGACTACTCGGTATTAAGCTGTATTACGGGGATATTACACCTGCTTTTCCGCCTTGAAATGCCAAAATTTGGTACATTTGATCCAGAAATGGTATTACATTTACGTGTATTACGCGTAATACAAGGTTTTAGTGGACAGGGTGTTACGCGAGTGTTTACCTCCTCGCCCACCAGGCCCAGGCTTCCTCTCACGCGGCGTTTCTCTGACCCATATCCTCTACCTAAGAGGCAGGCAAACTGCAACTTGGAGTTTTATCCCTTGGGACCCCACACACAAACCGACTCCGCCGATCGAATGCACATGCCTGCGACATGCGGCGTGTTTCCGCGATATCCCGGGAACGAATCGGTAAGACATTTTCGAGGAAACGCCGAGATAAGATATTTTGAAAAGGCACCATGGACGTACACTGCCAACGGCAGCGCCGTCTCGCGACACCACACTGATAAAAGTGATGTGGCGTGAAGTTCAAGCGCATGGCAATCGTGCGGCGACTGACTGCGGTGAAGCCCGCGTATCAGCGCGAACGGCTTCGTTGATTGTGTCTCAAACCAAAGTTTCCATTAAAGCCTACACTCTCATTCCAGGAACGTGACGACACGTCGAAACGAACATGTCAAAATGTCACGTTCGGTCGAGCGTCACATTCGTTTGGGTGTGAATCGGCCAAAAATTAGCTTTTTTCACATTGAAACTAATGTGACACAATGCTCAAACGAACGTGACATGTCACGTTCGTTTCAACGTGACGTCACGTTCCTGGGATGAGAGTGTAAAGCGAACAGCTACGCTTGAATAACGTTCCGCCTTTCTTGAAGCGTAGCGCACAATGCGCCTCGAGGCTGTTCCCACGAGCTCAGGTACGCTTCAGGAAGGGCGTCATGTCTGCACTCTTGTTCCAGAGCGTTACGTCACGTTAAGGCGGGCGTGAATCACACTCCCTTGAGCGTTGTGTCACGCTCCTTTGTGTGCGAATAAAGCCAATTTGGGGCTGATTGACATCCAAACAAGCGTGACACAAACCTCGAAGCCTGAAATTTTTTCATGCTCGTTTCAAACTGATGTTACGCTTCTGGAATGAGAGAGTTAAGTCTTAGTTTTAGCAGGGCTGAATCCCCCTCACTTCGAAACGAAGGTATGGTGCAATCACTGATTTTCTAAGTGTAATAATGGACTCATTTAAAAAGCAACAACATTTTTATTGCATTGGTAGAGCCATGAAAAAGTTATTGCATTATAAGTGCAATATTTATTGTATTGCATTAGCACATTTATCGCTTTATTAGCGCAGTTATCATTTTATCACACCAAAGCTGTGATAATCTGGGCCCAGATCGGCCAAAACCTAAGAGACTTATAGCATTTTTAATGCGATAATTTTTTTTATTGCTACCACAGATGCGATAATTTAAAGGAATCACACTAGCCTTTTAACCGCAGCAAATTGTATGAAACTTATCACATTAGAAATACCAGTGATAGACATAAAGTACCTTGAGTAGAGTATTTATATCGGTCTCTTTTCCGCTCTCAGAGGAAGCGTCAGTGATTGTGAAAAGGAAATTATACCTTGGAGTGAATTGTATTTGTAGTGTCTAAATTTGTATCGTGTAGAGCAAAGAAATAAAAAATTTTAGGAGAAAATGAATTGATATTTATTTTGGTACGATTCCTATCTGCACGGATCACATTTAATGGCAGCTCTAACAAGATTGCAGATTAAATGTCACCTCTCTGTTCGCCTGAAAGTTACTCCTTCTGTACCGCCTGTGCGTCAGAAAACAAGCCCAAAGGGTCAAGATTTAGGTTCAGGTAAAGTTAGAGCCCTACTAAACAGCGATTTCCAGTTAAACATGTTTGCAATGTCGGTGGGACACTCATATGTCGGATACCACTTGTGTTGGGTATCATTTTCGTTGTTTCAAAGCGAGGATAGAACTAGATAACTGGGTTTCGAGGTTCTACGCCGCGCGCTCAACCCGAGCCCCCGCAGGCGCCCCGATTCATGGTGCGGCGCGCGGCGCGGCACGCTGAGGGCCCTCCGCTCATAATCTTCTAGGCAGGCCAGCCAGCCGCTGCCTTGCCAGCGAGGCGCTCGGCCTCTTCCAGGCTTGCTAGTCAGGCCCTGATGGAGCAGGGGAGAAGTGGGGATTGTCCCTGTTGGTCCTTCGGATATTCTTGCGATCCTTACACGTCCTTAAGGAATCCGGGTGGTCTCTGTATGTCCATATGGAGTCCTAGACGTCCTTAAAATGTCCCGGGAGAGTCCTAGCCGTCCCTAAAATGTCCCAGGGGAATCCAATGTTTCCCGTGAAAGAAAGGGTTAGAGAGCTCGAGCCACCCGCCACCCTTAGAGTTTCTTCACCGCCTTGCATGAATGAAATGCACGACGTGTCCTTCTCTTTTTTGGAGAAAATCTACTTTGGGGGGGGGGGGAATCAGTGGCTGTCCCCTAGGATTCCGCAGGACAAATCTAAGGATATCTCTGAAGGAGTTGTCCCGAAGGATGAAGGATTTCCCTCAAGGAGTTGTCCCCCAGGATAGAGAAAATAAGTGGGACTGTGAAAATAAGTGGCTGTCCCCAGGGACGCCGCAGGACAAATCTAAGGATATCCCTGGAGGAGTTGTCCCCAAGGATGAAGGATTTCCCTCAAGGAGTTGTCCCCCAGGATAGAGAAAATAAGTGGGACTGTGAAAATAAGTGGCTGTTCTCAGGGACGCCACAGGACAAATCTAAGGATATCCCTGGAGGAGTTGTCCCCAAGGATGAAGGATTTCCCTCAAGGAGTTGTCCCCCAGGATAGAGAAAATAAGTGGGACTGTGAAAATAAGTGGCTGTCCCCAAGGACGCCGCAGGACAAATCTAAGGATATCCCTGGAGGAGTTGTCCCCAAGGATAAAGGTATCCCTGAAGGAGTTGTCCTCCAGGATGGGGATAGAGAAAATAAGTTGCTATGTCCCCAAGGACGCCGCAGGACATATCTAAGGATATCCCTAGAGGAGTTGTCCCCAAGGATAAAGGATATCCATGGGATATCCCTGAAGGAGTTCTCCAGGATGGGGATAGAAAGTAAGTGGCTGTCCCCAAAGACGCTGCAGGACAAATCTAAGGATATCCCTGGAGGAGTTGTCCTCAAGGATGAAGGATATCACGGGAGTTGTCCTCCAGGATGGGGATAGAAAAAATAAGTGGCTGTCCGTGGCTGTCCCCTAGGACGCCGCAGGACAGATCTAAGGATATCCCTGGAGGAGTTGTCCCCAAGGATAAAGGATATCCCTGAAGGAGTTGTCCCCCAGGATTAATCCTTGAGAAATTTGAGGGGTTATTGTCTCCCAAGATAAATCTCTCAGAAATGTTAACGGAGGAGAGAGCACAGAATGTCATAGGACAGGTCCAGAGTCCAGTGATTTCATTTGAGGAGAGGATGTTTATTGTTCCCTGGGATAAAGCTTTGACGATTCTCTATGGACTCCTATTAGATTCCCGATGACAAATTTGATGACTTCCCTTGAGAAGCCACAGAAAATCTGAATATTGTCCCCTGGGATAAATCCTCGATGACATTTTTAGGGACGTGGGCTTGTGGAAGTGTGTCTGTCCCTTAAAAGGGTATGGAAGACTGAGGTGAATTATTGAAAAAGAGTCCAAATCTATTTACTTCTTTAATAAGCCATGAATAAATGTCACAAGATAATATATGCTTTTGCTACGAAGTAGCATCACTCTAATTAAATTGCATCACCAGAAACTTAATTCAGAATGGTAATTGTAAAGGTTTCACTTAACAGCTAAAATCCTTTGGTGCACATTTGCTGTGGACAGGAAAAATACTTAAGGTAAAAGTATTATCAATCTTGTCCCTTTTTAATGAATGAATGAATGAATAACTCAAAATTTAAATGTTGGTGCTCAGCAGTTTTAACATGTTCTCAAATAAATGTTATTCAATCAATATCAAACCTATTATGAACACATGCAGCATACACCACATTTGCGGCATGCATTTTTACAGCAGGACAACGCACTTGATGTAAGGGAATGAAATGAAGGAGGTCAGCATCTTCATCCCGCAATGTAGACAAATGGCGGATTACTGGCACAACCTCCAAAACATCATGTTCTATCACAAAAGCACCGGTATCTTCTTCACCATTGTCATTCTCATAAGAGAAAATTGT